CACCTATATCACGCGATGGAACTCACGCACCACTTGGATTTCAGGGTATTGGGATAACAAGTTAATTGAATCGAACTTGGTTGACGGACGAGGCAATTTGTTCCCACGAATGCGAGAAGAACGAGAACAGAATTAACACTGAACAATATAGGGAAATGGTATGATATGCTCTGTGTATGTTGGTTAGGTATTGGTGGATGAAAATGATGTGTCTCCTGAAATGAATGAGACAAAAAAGGGCAAAAAGAGGGGGGACGAAATATGAAATGCCCCCGTTTTCTTCTCTTACTTTCCTTTCCTTTTTATTCCCACTTCTATTCCCTTCCATTATTCCCCTATCTTATCAACATCTTTTATATCTCTTGACCTTTGGTCGGTCCTCTTTTTCATTTTCTATATTAGTATAACGGCATCCACCAATATCGGATGAAACCATTTGATTGACGGATTAAGCTTACGAATTCTCCATTCCTATTTTATTTTTACCTATTTTACTTTTCAACATTTCAACTTTTCGATTTATGTTATGTGATCATTCGAATTCTCGATTATCTGTGCCTTTATGTCTAGTCTAGTTCATTGTTTACCCATAGCGCTGGAGTTGGTAGTTTTATGTTATTCCATAACATATTATATCGACTTGTTTTCCTGTAGACACAAAAGATTATTGTCTGCAGTTTGCCGTTTGCTGTTGGCTGTAAAATGAGAAGGTTGATGTAGATAACATAGGTATGCTAAGGTCAAAGATAACAAAATTCATATTTTATAGGTAGCAATAACTAGGAATGATGAATGACCTAAAAAAGGATGTTAGGCCCGAAGTAATGAAACCCTAGCCATCTGGTATTCTCTCTCCATTCAGGCACCCGTTGTGGAAGCTGGCCTTCCGAGAACCTCGTCTGGGTGAGATTTTCAGAGGACATGAGCAGTATATCAATACATAGTGAAATTGTCCCCCTTTTGAGTGTGCTTCGGGTCTTCCAGGGAACCTAGACTTGCCAAACAACTGGAGAATAGCATCTAGTAAGGCCTGGTGGTCTTCTGCTGTCGTAGTGAATGGGTAGCATAATCCACCAACGTTGAATAAGGTGGATCACGTTCGTAGATGCATCTCCTCTGGAGATTTTGGATATATGTATTAGATTCCGTGTTGTAAATATTGTGTAAAAGCCCAAGATAGCACCTTCTGGGATACTCTTAGCTTCTTATTGTTAGAATAACGTAGTAAAAGCTTCCAAATACCATCAAAGACCAGATTATGCAGTTGGTGACGTCTTCTATCAATGTTTTCTGGTTTTTATATCCACGTACCCGCGCTAACCCGATTGGGCTAGCAACCCTCGCTTAGATTTTTTTTATCGAGTTTGCCGTTTTTTGACGAGCGAAAAGAAAGCGAGAAAGTGAACAAAACATCCACTGACCAGACCATCGATATCTTCAGCGTTCCCGTCAGGTCCGTTGAGAGCCCAGCACAGAAAACAAGAAAGCCCGAGAGCCTGTCCTGACCAGCACGATGTCTCGTTTTTTCCACGGCGGGAGTGACAGCGAAAGCTCGTCCTCTGATGAGGAGGAGCTCTACAGCGATCGCGATAAGCCCGAAGACGATGAGGAGGAGTCTAGTGAAGAAGAGTCTAGCGAGGAGGAGTCCTCGGAGGAGGATAGTGATTCCGATGATGATGGCGGTGTTCAGGGTGCCGGCAGGTTCTATAAGTCAGCCAAGGCCGCTGTTGAGTCAGACGAGGATGAGGAGCGAGTCACAGTCATGAAGAGTGCGAAGGATAAACGGCTAGAGGAGTTGGAACACACAATCAAGGTCATTGATAATGCAGAGAGAATCAACGACTGGGCTGTTATCTCTACTGGTATGTCTGGAGAATTTTTGGTTGCGGATTGTGGACTGCGGGGTGATGATTTTGATAAGAGAAAACTGACCTGGATGGTGTAGAGTTCGATAAGCTGAACAGGCAGACTGCAAAGATCGTCCAGTCCGGCCCTACTCCAAAGGTCTACATCAAGGCCATTGCCGATCTGGAGGACTTTATGAACGAGACCCTTGCGAAGCAGAAGGTTTCGACGAAGAAGATGAACGCCAACAACGCCAAGGGCTTCAATACCGTCAAACAGCGTCTAAAGAAGAACAACAAGGAGTATGCTACCGAGATCGAAAAGTACAGAGAGAACAAGGAGGAGTACATGGAGCCAGATCAAGAGGAAGAAGTCGTGGTTGTGGAGCGTGCTCCCCGTACCGCTACTCGAGTTGAGGATGTTCTTATCGGAGACGACACCGGATTCTCGACCGTTGGCCGTGGTGGAAAGGCTCTCCAGTATACCCCTGAAAGCATTCTCAAGCATCTCCGTGTTGTCGTGGAGTCCAGAGGAAAGAAGAACACCGACCGTATGGAACAGATCCGAACTATGGAAAAGCTCCTCGAGGTTGCCACTACACCATACCACACTATCCGAACCCTTTTGACCCTCATCTCTACCCGTTTCGATCTCAGCACTACTTCAGTAAACAACTTCTTGGCCACTGACCAATGGAAACTCGCTGAGCGAGAGATCACTACTCTCCTACAGACCCTAGAGGAGAACCCTTCGTATGTAGTTACTGAAGGCGCTGAAGAGTGGGAAGATGACGAGAAGATGCCACAGCTGGCTCCCGGTGAAGTCCTCAAGGTGCCTGGAAGCATTGTTTCTTTGGTCGAACGACTAGACGATGAGCTCACCCGCTCTCTGCAACACATTGACCCTCACACAGCAGAGTACATCGAGAGACTCAGTGACGAACAGCTACTCTACAACAACATTGTTCGTGCCTTGATCTACGTTGAGAACCTTAATGAGATCGAGAAGTCCGAGCCCAGACAAGATAGCGTGAACAGAGTTCTGATGCGAAGACTAGAGCATGTTTACTTTAAGCCCGCCCAGGTCGTCAACATAATGGAAGAAAACTCCTGGAAGGTTGTCCCTGAGAAGCTTGACTCATCAATCACTCCTCGAGCAAAGAGCACAGATGTAACTGCCCTAGTACAAACACTTTGCAACTATCTGTTCGAGTACAGCGATGGCATCATCAGAGCTCGTGCTATGCTTTGCCAGATCTACTTCTTGGCCCTTCACGACAAATACCACCGTTCCAGAGATCTCATGTTGATGTCCCATCTTACGGAGAACATCTCCAACTTTGACGTTAGCACACAGATTCTCTTCAACCGAACGCTCGTGCAGATTGGCCTCTGTGCTTTCCGTGCCGGACTTGTCTATGAAGCCCAGAACACCCTCTCCGAAGTTTGCGGAAGTGGACGACAAAAGGAGCTTTTGGCCCAGGGTATCATTATGCAAAGATACTCCTCTGTCTCCCCCGAGCAGGAGAAGCTTGAGCGTCAGCGCCAGCTTCCCTTCCATATGCACATCAACCTCGAGCTTCTCGAGTGCATCTACCTCACCTCCAGCATGTTCCTTGAGGTTCCCCTCATGGCCCAGACCTCATCCTCACCCGAACTCAAGCGCAGAATTATCTCCAAGACTTTCCGAAGAATGCTCGACTACAACGAGCGACAAGTCTTCACTGGCCCACCAGAGAATACCCGTGACGGTGTGATCATGAGTGCCAAATTCCTTGCAGCTGGTGACTGGAAGAAGGCCTCTGCCACCCTCAACTCCATCAAGATCTGGGACTTGATGGCCCAGCCCGATAAGATCAAAGTCATGCTCGCTGAGCAAATCCAGGAGGAGGGTCTCCGTACCTACCTATTCACCTACGCTCCCTTCTACGATACCCTCTCCATCAGCACACTTGCCGCCATGTTCGAGCTCTCCGAGAAGAGAATATCTGCTATCGTTAGCCGTATGATCTCTCACGAAGAGCTTAGCGCTGCCCTTGACCAAGTTAACGACGCCATTGTCTTCCGCAAGGGTGTTGAACTTTCCAGACTCCAAAGCCAGATCGTCACACTCGCAGACAAATCCATGTCTCTACTAGAAGCTAACGAGAAGACCCTTGAACAACGAACACAAGGCATGACCAATGCCTTCCAACGTGACCAGGGCCACGGCGGACGAGGCGGCGGACGAGGTGGCAGAGGTGGTCAGCGAGGTGGTGGTGGCCGTGGTGGTGGTATTGGAGGGCAGGGCAGAAGACCTGGTAACCAGCAGTTCGGTGGCGGTGCGCTTGGTGGAGCGATCCGAGCATGAATGAATTAACAAGCCTTCTAATTCCCTTCTTTCTCTTACCATTCAGCCCCTTTTTTTGACACCCAAGAAGTTAATGAAATGATGTGTTTTATGATTTTCTGTGTCAGCATCATTTCCTCCTTACTTTCGTTTTCTTAATGGTTCCTCTCTCCTTTTTCCTTTTTTGACTACTTTATGTGTACCGGCTCTGTCTTCAGTGAATGCTTGGGGTTGAGTCTGCATCTACGCCATTTGGCAGGGTTTAAAAAATGTCCATGCATATTATAAACGATCAATGGCAGGTTAAATAAATCAAAACTTCAAAGTGGTTCACTTCTCAATATTTGATAAGTGGATGTTATTCATACATTGTCTATCTGCCAGGTACAGCCGATTATCATTCGGCCATTTGTAACCTTACAAAGACACTAGGTTGGCTGGATTTGTGTATAGGCTTCCGTACCAAACACTCTTATATCATGATAGACGGCCTCCGATCAGACGTCGACAGCGAGTAACGTCCGTCTCCATGGTAGTGAGCTCTAGTGTCTCATCAACGATGCCCAGCACGATATAATGATGAGAGAGTGAGAAAGAGAGCCCACTCCTAACTTGGTAGGCGTTTCAAGCTTAAGCGTCCAACATATGGCTATCTCATCTGCTTTCTTCTTGTAAATATTGAGGCGACCAGTACTCAGCCTCTGCAGCCTGTGAGTCAACCCATACAAGGCCGTCCGCAAGAAGGTCATCGATAACTGTCTTTGATCTCGCTTTCTCCCACTGTAGATTCAACTGTAGCATGGAAACAGTCACGAAACCTAGTAGTTGAATGACTTCGAGAACAGTGGCTTGGTCTGTATTAAGCTCCTTTGGAACGGACCGGATATATTGCTTGCTACCAACTTTCACCACGTTAAGGCCAGATCCAAGTGGCGCCAGAGACTCGACAGCACGGAGTATATCATCTCTAATGCAACGTTAGTTACCGTACCAAAAGTAGTAATAAGACAGTTAGGAAATGGCTTACTCTGAAACTTCCAACCCCCCTCCAATAGCCTTGCCAGCTCCCACTACCTTCCTGCAAGCCTCTACGCTTATTAGGCCGCCGTTCTCAGCGCGCGTCTCTCTGCAAAGTTCAACGACTCTCACAGCAACCTCAAAGTAAAAGTCATTTACATCACCGCCGAGTATTTGTGTCCAGAAACTCCCGCCTTCGCCGAACCCCCTCTTCCCTTTCCCCTTGATGTTGCTGGCAGCCAGTGGATCGACCCCTATGGCATGGCACATGCGTGCAAACTCGGCTCGGAAGGTAGGATTTGATTTAATTGTCTCTCCGTGTTCAAGAGCGAAGGTATGTAGTAGAGACTGGAATACTGACAGCTGGGTCTGGAGAGAGCTCGCATGCGTTGACCTCAGGTTGGCTCCATGGGCTGCAAAGGACTGTGACGCCTGGTTCTTATTCACAAAAGCTCCCAGCCCAACACCGCGACGGGACGACATAGCTTATCCTTATTCTCTTTCCAATCTTCTCCTTCTATCTTTACCCTAACCTCCTGCTGTTGCTTCTCTCTCTTCCCTATGCTGCTGTTTGCTCACTTGACGCCGCTTTGTTGTCGCTCTTATCGATAACACTGATGACTCATCAGTTTTAGCCCTAATTCCGAAAAGACGCTACACGTGACGCCATCTGACGAATCAGGACTAGTGGCTTTTCCTTTCCACAAAACACAAAAACTTCTTCAAAAACTTTCGTTTCTTCTTCTTTTTTGATCTCGCGACTTCAACGACATTTTCGACCAGCAAATCCAGCAAAAGTCGACAACAAACTCCTTCGACATGGCTACGTATGCTTCCTTTTCCCTTATATTCTACTAATCTCAGTCCCGTGTGTACAGTGTTGGGTTATAGTCCGTCCTTCTCGCTGGAGTCGCTTACACCGTCTCACTTGGTTGTGACCGATGTTAGCACCAGCTCGAACAATCCCGACGCTACCCTAGAAGCCTTTCCAAGTGGTCTACAGATGGCAAGGAATGAAGGTATAAGGGGAGACGTCAATGGGGCATTGAGGCTGAAGGTGTCATAGCTTTCTCCTTTAAACTTATTGTCGGGTCTACACGCATTGGATATCATGCTTCACACGAGACATGAAAATTGCGAAAATAGGCAGACACAGTCATCCCGCGCAGTAATTGCATGGGGCTTTGTCAATTGAGGATACTTTGTGACAGTACGGGAAATGGGGAAAGCTACATCCAGCCGTCTTTACGGGGAATATGCTAGTACCTACCACGAACACAGTCCATAGTCTTCATTGATTAAAAACATTTCGTCGAGTCTTGATAAAACGCCTTCAGTTGAGAATGTGGCACTATAAGCTGCAGTTCTTACACTCGGCGAGATTATTTCACTATATGTGGATTGGACTATACTGACATCGGGCATTTAGCACCGTCCCAACCCAGGACCAGGTCCTTATGCCTGAGACCCTCTTGAAGAAGCGCAAGAGCCAGGAGAAGGCCAGAGCCAACCGCACCGCTGAGCTTGAGAAGCGCCGCAAGGTTAGTTTGACACCCTGATTTTGCATTTATTATGCCTTTTGTTTTGTATATTGCTTGTCTTGTGATGATATCACCAACGATGCGACTAGACCTTCGGGTCGATGCTGTCGCTTTCACTTTAACCATCTTTCGGGTCTGAAAGCTGCAACCCAAAACAACATATATTCATAGATCTTCCCGTGGTTGACATGTGGTGCTGATTGAATATTAAATATAGGCTAGCAAGAACAAGCGTGCTGTTATCTTCAAGCGTGCTGAGTCCTATGTCAAGGAGTACCGTGATGCTGAGCGTGAGAAGATCCGCTTGGCTCGTTTGAGCAAGCAGGAGGGAACCCTTTATGTTCCTGCTCAGCCCAAGCTCGTCTTCGTTGTTCGTATCAAGGGGTTAGTACCGGCACTGTCCAAGGGCCATATTATCAATTTCTAACAACTCTATAGTATCAACAAGATTGCTCCTAAGCCACGCAAGATCCTGCAGCTTCTCCGTCTTCTCCAGATCAACAATGGAGTTTTCGTCAAGCTTACCAAGGCTACTGCTGAGATGTTGACTATTGTTGACCCATACATTGCCTATGGTTACCCTAACCTCAAGAGCGTCCGTGAGCTCGTCTACAAGCGTGGTTACGGAAAGATCAACAAGCAGCGTGTTGCTCTTACCGACAACCAGCTTATTGAGGAGAACCTTGGCAAGTACGGTATTGTCTGCATGGAAGATTTGATCCACGAGATCTACACTGTCGGCCCCAACTTCAAGCAGGCCAGCAACTTCTTGTGGCCATTCAAGCTCTCCAACCCCACTGGTGGTTTCCGCACTCGCAAGTTCAAGCACTTCATCGAGGGTGGTGATACTGGTAACCGTGAGGAGAACATCAACGCCCTCATCAAGCAGATGAATTAAGTTAGTCAAACAAAAAAAGGTGTTGGGCTTTCGGCGTTAGCGGGTGGTTTGGTCATGAGGTTTTAATGTATTAACGAATGTCAATTATTTGCCTGAGAGGTAGACTTTAAACCTGTTATATCAAACCCCCGATTACTCCTGTCTCTTTTAATTCTGCTACAGTGAGAACGTAGCTTCGGTCCGATCCCACTTTGTTACTTTCACCTTTCCCAAATGTAGAGAAGCATCCTGCTGCCCCTTGAATGGTCGTGTGTATTATTCGCTTAAATTGCCGAAATTTTAGCTTTGGACATAAGGTTAGTCACATGATCAATATTTTGGCTTGCGCGCGTTAAACTGACGCGAAACGCGCTTTATTTAAAGTTTGTTAATTGATTTGACTCTCACAACGCGAGATTTGCGAAAAAGCTCGCCTTTTCATAAGGGACGAGGTATGATACCTATAGTGTTCGCATAGTCAACACTCCTTCTCACAACAGTGCGTTGTTTCATGATTTGTTTCTTTCGTTTTAACGCCTCAATTACGCCATGTCTTCTCGTGCCAATAAGTTAGCAGAGCTGAAGGCTCTCCGCGCCTCTGGGAAGAAGCGCCTTGCAACTTACGAAGTCGAAGAAGACGAAGATATTTACGAGCAGGTTGACGAGGAGGGCTATAAGAAGGTCGTTCGGAAACGACTTGACCGTGATGACTTTGTCGTTGACGATAATGGCGAGGGCTACGCCGACGACGGGCGGGAGGAATGGGATGATACCCGACCTGCAGCAAGCGATAGTGACAGCGACGACTTGCCAGTAAGGGGGAAAGCGGCTAAACGGAAGCGAGAAGAGGAGAGCAAGAGAAAGGAGAAAATAGAAAATGGAATCAACAAGTACTTTACAGCCACTCTCACGAAGCAGACATCGAAACCAAAGGTGTGTGCCCCCTGCTTTCACCCTAGGTATAATATGGCAGTAATTGTGTCTAATTACTTCCTGGGTATTTAGCCTGTTGCTACTGCGGATGACGAAGCGTTTCTCGCAGATATTTTGGGTGACGTCGAGACAAACATAGCGACTTCGAATGCCCCCGTTAAGAAATCCATAAAGTCAGAGACGAGAAGAAAAGTACGGATTGTCTCACCTCCAGTTCAACCAAAACCGAGAGCAAAGAAGACCGAGACCAATCCGGGGAATGATAGTCCACACGCAAAAGATAAATTGGTGCCGGACGTGGAATTTGAAGATGGTGGTTTCCTTGATGGCGGGGACGACGATGCCATCATGAGTGAGCCGCCGTTGCCTTCATCACCGGTTGCCAGTGCTATGGAGCGGAAGACAGGTAGCACTTCAAGGCCGAAACAAGATGTTATCAAAAAGGAAGAAGACGATGAAGACGACGATATGATGGACGTGGTAGAGGCCGTTGCGGACCACAGTACCAATACACCAAGTGTCAACATGGTTGGAAAGCGACCGCCTCCAAAGATCAAGAAGGAAATATACGACGATCCTATGGCCTCTTCTCCAGCTCGTGCCACGACTGAGATGATCAATCCTTCTTCCTGGAACGATGTAACGAGCAAGCTGAACGTTCTCAACAGCTCAGTCACTGATATGCAACGGTTCGGAAAACTTACTTGTCAGGAAGCTGTTGAGGAAGATGGTAGCTTGAGATTTTTCTGGTTGGACTACACTGAAATCAATGGCAGCCTATGCTTATTCGGCAAAGTAAAGAATAAGACCAACAACAGCTACGTGAGTGCTTTTGTCAAGGTCGACAACATTCTCAGGAAGCTATATTTCCTACCCCGGGAGTACAAATATACCCGTGGCCAAACTACCAGCGAAGAGGTTGATATGGAAGATGTCTATGGTGAGGTGGATACTCTCATGAGCAGGTCGAAAGTTGAGATGCATAAAATCAAACCTTGCACTCGAAAATATGCCTTTGAGTTACCAGGTATTCCTAAAGAGGCGGAGTATCTTAAGCTGATGTACCCCTATACAAAACCCGCCTTGCCCATGGACTTAAAGGGTGAAACCTTTTCTCATGTCTTCGGAACGAACACAGCTCTTTTTGAGCAATTCGTTCTGTGGAAGAATATCATGGGGCCCTGTTGGTTGAAAATTGAAGATGCGGACTTTACGGCAGTTAATGGAGCTTCATGGTGCAAGCTTGAATGCCAGGTCACAAATCCCGCTGAAATTTCATTAGTTCCAGATTCCGAGGAGATTGAAAACCCCCCCCTGACACTCATGAGCTTGTCATTCAGGACACAGCTAAACGTCAAGGAAAATAAACAGGAAATTATTGTTGCTTCGGCTCGTGTATATGAGAATCTTTCCCTCAGTGATACCACACCACCAGAGAACCTGCCTTGCAAGACCTTTACTGTTATGAGACCTTCAAACGTCTCTTACCCCCTTGGCTTTGAAGTGGAAGCTAAAAAGCAGCGTGGGACAGTTATGCTTGAGAAGACCGAACAATTTCTTCTCAGCAAGTTCCTGGCTTTGTTCGAAAAAATTGACCCCGATGTCATAATGGGCCATCAGCTTCAAGAAGTAGATTTTAATGTTCTCCTTAGCCGGCTAAAGGAGAAGAAAACCCCCGGATGGCACCGCATTGGCAGGCTGAAGCGTGGTGAATGGCCCAAGAACTTCTCAAAAGGCTCTGGGTTTTTCAGTGACAGGCAGCTTCTAGCAGGAAGACTTCTTTGCGATGTTGCCAATGATATGGGCAAATCCCTAATGATGAAATGCCAATCGTGGACCTTGACTGAAATGTGCCAACTTTACTTGAGTGAGGGTGATCAGCGACGAGAAGTTGACACTGAAGCCGCTCTCAAAACATGGGCAACTAGTAAAGAAGGGTTAATGAACTTCCTCAGCCATTGTGAAGCGGATACATACTTCATTGCTGCCCTTGTTCTTAGGCTGCAGATGCTTCCCCTTACCAAGGTTCTTACCAATTTGGCTGGAAACTCCTGGTCTAGAACGCTCAGCGGAACAAGGGCCGAACGAAATGAGTACATTTTACTTCACGAGTTTTACCGTGGTAAATATATTTGTCCTGACAAATATGGACACAAGACCCAGATTAAGGTCGAAGAAAACGAAGGAGATGAAGATGGGGCAGACAAGAAGAAGAAAGAGAAATATAAAGGTGGTCTTGTTTTTGAACCTGAGAAAGGTCTTTACGACAAACATGTCCTAGTCATGGATTTCAACAGTTTGTACCCCAGCATCATCCAGGAGTTCAACATCTGCTTCACAACAGTAGATCGACATGCATCAGTAAGTAGGCCAACTTTGTCCAAGAGAAGCGGATATGAATACTAACTAGTATATAGTCCGAAAATGATCGAGAGGAGAGTGTACCTGAAGTACCAGATAGTGATCAACCCCTGGGCATCCTACCACGCCTCATTGCTACTCTTGTCAGCCGCCGAAGAGAAGTGAAAAAGCTCATGAAAGACAAGAGTGCTACTCCTGAAGAACTTGCTCTTTGGGATACCAAGCAGTTAGCCTTGAAACTAACAGCAAACTCCATGTACGGATGTTTGGGTTATACACAATCCCGATTTTATGCCCGACCACTTGCCATGCTTACAACATTCAAGGGACGAGAAATTCTACGGAACACGAAGGAACTTGCAGAGACCAATCAACTTCGTGTCATCTACGGAGATACCGATTCAGTCATGATCAATACCAACACAGACAATGTCCAAGAAGCACTGAAAGTGGGCAACGAATTCAAACGCTTGGTCAACCAGAGATACAGGCTTCTTGAAATTGATATTGACAATGTGTTCAAGAGGCTCCTTCTACACGCAAAGAAGAAATATGCTGCCATTAACCTGTCAGAGGTAGATGGGAAGTACGTTGAGCATCTTGAGGTTAAGGGATTGGATATGAAGCGTCGAGAGTTCTGTGCTTTATCGAAGGAGGTTTCCACTAAGTTACTGCACGAGATCTTGTCTGGGGATGATGTTGAAGTGGTCCTTAACAAGATCCATGATTACTTGCGGGAACTAACACAGAAGATGCATGAATACACAATCCCAGTCCAGAAATATGTCATTTATACGGTAAGTTATCTCCAAAGTTTACTTTGCATATTGATACTTTGGTAGACTTCCTCTAACCTTAATCACAGAAATTATCCAAACGGCCAGATGAATATCCAAACAAGGAGACCATGCCTCCTGCGCAGGTAGCTCTGCGTGAGCTTGCCAGGGGCAAATCCGTCCGCCCAAATGACGTTATCTCTTATATAGTAACGCTGGGTGACTCCGAGACATCCTCCTTGCAGCCAGCAAAACGATCATACACCCTTCAAGACGTCATCAAACCTGATTCTGGGTTGAAGCCAGACGTGGAATTCTACCTATTAAAACAAATCTTCCCTCCAATCGAGAGACTATGTGCCCCCATACCCGGTACAGACGCTGCACGACTCGCTGAATGCCTCGGCCTGGACGTTAGAAAATACCAGATCTCAAGTAACGCAAACCACGGCCAACAAGAAACAGAGTTGTGTGCCCTTGAATCTCAAGTCCCCGACTCCATCCGATTCGAGAAAGCTGCTAGACTGAACCTCCAATGCCGCTTCTGTCGCAAAACAGCCACTTTCGAGGGCCTCGTTGCATCACGAGAAATGTGTTCTCCTAACGGCCTGATATGCCCTGACGCTTCGTGCGGCAAAGCCTTCACCGTCATATCCATCGTTGCACAGCTAGAAAGCCAAATCCGAGCTCAGACTGCACAGTACTATGAAGGCTGGCTTGTTTGCGATGACTCTGCCTGCGGCAACCGAACTCGTCAAATAAGCGTTTACGGCCAACGGTGTTTGGGTCCTCGTGGGCGTGCGGAGGGCTGCCTTGGTCGGATGCATTACGAGTATAGTGAAAAACAGCTGTATAACCAATTGCTTTACTTTGCTGGGTTGTGGGATGTGGAGAAAGCGAAGGGTATAGCGGAGAAGGAGGCTTCAGTGGAGAAGAGAGAAGCGATATTAGCGCTTGTTGCTTGGAATAGGACACGGTTTGAGACCGTCAAGTCTGTTGTGGATGGGTATTTGAAGAAGTGTGGACGGCAGTGGGTGGAAATGGACGTTTTGTTTGGATTTGCTTTGGCATGATTCAGGAATGGGGGTTTGTATTTAGGTATATTTTTGACAATATACATATCTAACGAATGCAACGGGTTCTTTTAAGGATAGCTTTTATTGCAACGATTGTTAATGTATGATTTTAGGATGTTCTTTGAGAGGGGGTATTTTATTAGTCTTAAGCATTCATTTCTAATATTACACACGTTAATTTATAAAAATACAGATGTTAGTTTACATAAAAGAGGCACAAATCCGACGACCTCATGACCCTCCCTATGACTAACAAAGCTTCCCAACTCCAAAGAATTCAATTGATGGTATCAAGGGGATTTTTCTTTCTGACTTTTTAGTTGCTTCCATCCTTGGGCTTCTCCTCGCCCTGTGGTGGCTGCTGCTGCTGCTGTTGGCTCTCCTCGTGGCGGGCCTTGTGCATCTTATCGAAGAGGGTGAGGGAAGAGGTCTGGAGGTCATCGACCTTAGCCTTGAGCTCCTCGGCAGTGATGGTGCCTTCGCCAGACTGGCACTTGGCAACGACTTCACGGAGGGCGGCGATCTTCTCGCTGATCTGGGTGGCCTCGGCCTTGTCGAGCTTGTCTTCGAACTCCTTGAGGGCCTTGTCGGTGTCGTTCAGGACACTGTCGGCACGGTTAGCACCCTCGATGAGAGCCTTGCGCTCAATATCCTGAGCACGGTAGGTCTCAGCATCGTCAACCATGTTCTGGATCTCAGAGTCAGAGAGACCAGAGCCAGAAGCAATGGTGATAGACTGGTCCTTGTTGGTGGACTTGTCCTTGGCGTGGACGTGGACGATGGAGTCAGCGTCAATGTCAAAGGTGACTTCGATCTGTGGCACACCACGGTGGGCTGGTGGGATACCGACGAGCTGGAAGTTTCCGAGGAGCTTGTTGTCACGGACGAGCTCACGCTCACCCTGGTAGACCTTGATCTCGACGGCAGTCTGGAAATCAGCGGCAGTGGAGAAGGTCTGGGACTTCTTGGTGGGGATGGTGGTGTTGCGGTTGATGAGACGGGTGAAGACACCGCCGAGGGTCTCGATACCGAGGGAGAGGGGAGTGACGTCGAGAAGGAGGACATCGGTGACTTCACCAGCAAGGACAGCACCCTGGATGGCAGCACCAATGGCAACAGCCTCATCGGGGTTAACAGACTTGGCGGGCTCACGTCCGAAGATGCTCTTGACGGACTCGGTGACCTTGGGCATACGGGTCATACCACCAACCAGGATGACTTCCTGGATGTCCTTGGCGGTAAGGTTGGCATCCTTGAGGGCCTTGCGGACTGGCTCAACCGTGCGCTGGATCAAGGGGTCAACGAGAGCCTCAAGCTGGGAACGAGTGAGCTTAGAGTTGATGTGCTTGGCGCCAGAAGCGTCAGCAGTGATGAAGGGGAGATTGATTTCGGTCTGAGAGGCGGAGGAGAGTTCCATCTTAGCCTTCTCAGCAGCCTCACGGATACGCTGGATAGCCATGCGGTCACCGGAGAGGTCAAGGCCAGAGTCCTTCTTGAACTGCTGGACAATGTTGCGGACGAGGGTGATATCGAAATCTTCACCTCCGAGATGGGTGTCTCCGTTGGTGGACTTGACCTCGAACACACCCTTCTGAATCTCGAGGATGGAGATATCGAAAGTACCACCACCAAGATCGTAGACAGCAATGACACGGTCCTGCTCCTTCTCGAGACCGTAGGCAAGAGCAGCAGCGGTGGGCTCGTTGACGACACGGAGAACGTTAAGACCAGCAATTTGACCAGCATCCTTGGTAGCCTGACGTTGAGAGTCGTTGAAGTAAGCAGGAACAGTGACGACACCGTTCTTGATTGGCTTGTTGAGGTATCCCTCAGCGGTCTCCTTCATCTTCTGGAGGACGAAACCACCGATCTGGGAGGGAGAATACTTTTGGCCCTGAGCCTCAACCCAGGCGTCGCCGTTGGTGTGCTGGACGATCTTGTAAGGAACCTCTGACAGATCTCTCTGGCACTCGGCGTCGGTGAATTTGCGGCCAATCAATCGCTTGGTAGCGAAGAGGGTGTTCTCTGGGTTGACAACGGCCTGACGCTTAGCAGCAACACCGACTAGTCTCTCGCCATCCTTGGTGAAAGCAACGACGGAGGGTGTGGTTCGTGTTCCTACATCCATTTGTTAGCCCATCTCCCTTTTTGTACGACGAGCGGATGAAACACCGCTTGTTTGGCTTACCTTCAGAGTTTTCCATGATCTTTGGGGTCTTTCCCTCCATAACGGCAACGGCGGAGTTGGTGGTACCTGTGAGCAACCAATTGTCAGCCAGGGGCCCATTTTTAACAATCCCATAGCCATCCCATCATCGTCATCACCATCATTAGGGTGCATTTCATAAACATACCAAGATCAATACCGATGACCTGGCCCTTCACTTTCTCCTCACCACCCTCTGTCGAGTTCCATCGTCTGAATGAGGTCGATGGGACTCTGAAGGCAGGGGAGCGAATGAATTGTGTAGGGACGCGAGGAGCCTAGAAGAAGAGAGGTCAGTCCAGGGGCCTTCAATGGGTGTCTTTTCGAGCTCCCGTGAGCTTCCATTGCAGCTTGCTACCTACCGCGCGACAGATTCTTGAGGCGAGCATTATGTGTGTAAATGAGCAAAAATAAACACAAACAAGAAGTGAAAGGGCGTAATTGGCGAAAGGAAGGGAGGATGAAGGAGAGAAAGGGGATTGACGATGGTGGTGAAGGGGGAGAAGAGGTTGAAGATGGAGTTGAAGTTGGAGATGAAGAAGTTTTTTCGAAGCTGCGAGAAAAATTTTCAGATAAAAAAAGAGAGCAAGAAGATAAGCGGCTAGTCCTTATCGGGAAAGGCGGTCTCAGTAGAAACCGGCAGAAAAGGAACGACTTCTTGGCGCTGACTAACATCTTACTAAACCACTTAGTCATTTTTCACGTGACAATAACGTGACCAAAGCTCGGGCCAACCATCCTCCTTCCCTTTTTGAACAAACTTCCCCAGCTTTTTTTCTTTTTTTCTTTTTTTCTCTCTTTGCTGCCGTCATCGACTTTTTGCCCTCGCACCATCACATCACATCACCTCGACTCCAACTCCAACTCCAACTCCAAGTGCACTCGACGCAACCTCACGACCAGCAACAAGATCACGACACGACAGAATCAAAGACAGAGATAGTCGACGGGACCCTGCAGCCAGAGTCACGGGTAGCTGCTTGAGACAGCCATTCAGCGGGTGCTGCACCTTGCCGTCGAGTTCGGTCAGCGCGGGCCGCGAGCGCTTGAGCCTGGCACGCGAGAGAGTCTTTGCCCGAGGCCGGCGACACAACACCCCCATGTACTCCCATCCGCCCGTCTATCATGGCTCTTGATACCGAGTTACTGTGCGTATGCTCGCAGCTGTGTTGTTCTGTGGTCCGTTTGGCCTGCCTGCAGACCTTTGCTAACGACGGAGTGGGTTGTCTCTGTGCGCTGCAGTAATCGACCCACCGAAGCCCTTCTCCTGCCCAGCGACCGCCGCTTCTTCCCCTTCAAGATCCCCAATACGTCAGTGAACAACTCCTTCTTTTCCATGCTAGTATTGCAGTGTTTGCTGTTGCGGAAAAATAGCGTAGAGGCGACGATGGCTGGGAATTGACTGTTGACGTTTTTACCTTGTCCCCTGGATTTAGACACCACCAGCTGCGCCATTACATCAGCACGGCCGATCCTGACAGAATATATGTAGCCGTCGGGAGGATAATATACGCCATCCACATCTCAGCACGCAAGAGAGAGATCCTCACCATTGTTCCCTTTGACCCAAAATGTCTTACCGCCGGAAATGGATGGATTGGTGTAGGTGGCACGGAGAGTGGGGACTGTGCCTTCATTAAGCTGGATGCGGCCTTCTCTCTGGCTGCAGATGCTGCTGCTGTGCCCGGCTCGCCTGCCGGCGTTGACTCTCCTCTTCCGCTGGATTTTGATACGTCCATATCGAGGAGGACTCTCCCTTACCCACCGAGTAAGCATTGTCTTCTTCCGTCTATTATCTGTTGCTTGAACTGCTGGAATGGGATTTTAACTGGCTATATAGATGTCAGTGTTCGCGAACTCGGCGGAAGCATAGTCAATTCCGTGACTCTTCATCGTCTTCCGGCTAACGGAGACGAATTCGTTGATGAGGATATTGCTGTTCTCAGGTAAGCCCAAGCATCAGTTTGTGTTTCTTGTTTTCTTCGATTGATTTTTTGCTTGATGCTAGGGCTAACTTGATCATACAGCAATAATGACACCACCGTGAGCATCTTCTCACTACCGCGAATGGAAGTTGTCGAGACAATCCGTCATCCCGTGTGCATGAATTTTGCCATCATATCCCCTGACTCAAAGCTGCTTGCTGCAGTAGGCGATGAGAATAGGGTGTATTTCTACCGAGCCATCGCTTCCCCTGATAAGGTAAACGCCTTTCCAGCGGACGGTGGTAAACTACTCCGAGATTGGACCTGGCCACTACTTCGAAGCGTCGAACTCGATTCGGATCCTCACTACGACGACCGATGCTGCTTCACTATTGCGTTTTCTCCTTCCAGCCACCTCTGTGCAGTTGCCTCTCAGGCTGGTGTCATTACAGTATTTAGCGTCAAAGGCATTTTCAGCCCTGATCCAGATGGAAGATCTGGCCGAGAGGATATCCTCTGTGTCTTTAGGTCCTCCCGATCATGTTTCGATGGCGGTGCTATTCGCTGCATGTCATTTTCTCCCGGGCCTTGGGATCTCCTGGTTTGGGTTGAAGACCATGGACGTTTCGGTATAGCCGACGTCCGCCAGGGCTTTTCCAGGCGCCAAGTCATAACTCTTGATATAGACGAACCGAGCCTCGAGCGCGTCAAAACCGACAATCTCGACAAACCGGAAACGGACCTAGATCTGGATGCTGATAGTCACCGGCCGGAGTCCAGCGCAAACCATTCCAGATTAAATGACGCCGAGGATGCATTACAGCGAGCCATCGACTCTAACCGTCACCGCCGTCGAGGAGGGGCTGCCGACACAGACTCGCAGATAATGCGAGATAGTTTGGCCCGGGATCTAACCGCACGGGAGAGGCAGATTATCGACTTCTTGAATACAGCACGCTGGGCGTCCTCTATTGAAGAAGGCCCCCAGCGACTGCCACACCTAATTAGCCCTCTACCATATTCCGCTTCTTCCACTTACCAGCAGCGGGCCGCAAGTCAGTTTTTGGGTACATCACCGCCTCCGCCTCCTCCACCTCCACCTCCAGACCATTACATAACTCGCAATGAGCCATCGCGCAACTCCGATAGGGCACGAACGGGAGCTCCTAGGAGACGCAACTCCGTCATCCTATCCCAGGACAGCTCGTCTCGGCCAACTGTGCATACGTCTTCTGCACTAATCCCGCACCCAGGCATATCGTTAAGGTGGCCATATTCTCCCAACCAAGTGCCAGCGCCCAACGATGACCCGGAAACTTTAAGTATGGAGGATGATTTCCCTCGCATACCATCCCCTAACGAAGACGGCGTGCAGACTGGCCCGTCTAACTCTGCCCATCGTGGTTCTAGAGCGCCGCAGCCAGAAGATACATCATCGAGTAACAGCCGGCCTAACACAGCACAACGCCAGCGCCTTGCACGCTCACGGTCAATCCCCCGTCGTGCTGATAGGCCCACCCGTGCCCCTGGTGAGCGTCTCGACCCACGTAATACAATGGACTCCGAACTAAGATCTACGTTAGCTGCTGAGCGCCTGCGAGCTCAACGACAGGCTGCTGTGGAAGAAAACCAGCGTCTCACGGAATGGGAGCAACAATACCGCCGTGTGCTGGAACTTGATAACATTCGATCAAGCCCTAGGATCCGGAATTTTTCTGGAGAGATCTACGGTGGTCGAGAATCAGGATGGGGAGTGGGAACCGCTGGTGTCGGATGGAGTGATAATGGGCGTACTCTGTAAGTTTTTCTTTGCCTTCTCTTTATTTCATTGAATCGTAATACTAACCCTTAGGAAAGATACATTGGCACCGTGCAGGGAATATTCGAATACCATATCAATGTCCCGGATCGCAAGACCTTCCCAGCCTTCAGCTGCAGGTAATGTACCTGAGCATCCCGGCAATGAATTTATACCCCACAAATAATCCCACTCAACAAACGGGCTCCGTGACCCCCAAAGCAAATACTCTTGGAAATCCCCAATTTGTCGGCTTGAATAGGTGTTATGATTTTGGCTATCGATCTACTGGTTTTTTTTATTGTCTTCTTCTTCAGCTGTCTTCCCTTTGGCTGGCTCTTTTATTTAATACTTTCTCTTCTCCCGCTTAGCAAGCGTTGATATCTTCTTTCTCTTATCTCTTTTTTGTACGGTGCTTTTTTGGTGCATGGGGGTGGGCTGGATGGATACGGTCTGGGTTCGTTATATATTTATTTCACACCAACAAACAAACGCACGGAGAAGTTGAATACCTGTTTATTCAACGGTGATTCTACCCATATATCAATTGTTTCCCCCTTGATCTACGCTTGCTTGTTTTGTTACTTAAAAGTTCCATTTTAATCTAATGTCATTTTTTTTTCTTGGACCTTGGTTATCGGTAAGTTCCATCAGTGGTCTTGATCATTTGGAAAGATCCCCTCGCTTGATCCTTCAGGCAAGGAAGTTTTAGCACACAGTCCCATGCGGATATCCAACGTCTTAAAAGCAGGGATGGGTTAACTAGTTACATGTTCGTTAGCTTCTTCTCCAGGTTGAAGCACGCAAGTGCAACATCGACTTAGCTCTGACAAGGGTAGACGAAGCTCTGCAGAAGCGTCGGGTCATGAATCAAACTCGCATGAGTCTTAGACCAGTCATTTCCACCAAGGGCCAAGCATCTCACAAAATTCCAGCAAATCATCAGCTCGCTTTCAATACAGCTCAGTCCTCCCCGGTCCGGTTCTATTTATGGCTGTGCTAAAAAAACAACGATACCTGGACGGGGCAAAAGGCACAGACGAGCGACAAGGTCTGCTGACAGGGCTTTAAGTCGCTTAAGCTGCAGCTTCGCAAATCTGCAGCCAGTCACAGGTGAACGGGACGGAGGGCCTCAGCCTCGCTCGGCGTAGGAGAAGATGCGGCTCATCAGGGGCCAAGGCATAAAAGCCTCCATCCCGCTGGTCAAGGAAGTGCTGGGCAGGGCAAAGCCTACGATGTTTCGCTTTTTCTAAATCGATATTCTACTTACTGCTAATTGTATGTATGAATATTTGTATTTGTCCCATTTAATAGGTAGAGCTAATAATTTATTTTAGATAATCTTGATTTCGATCGGCTTTTTGGCCGATCATCTGTTGTTGACTGCCTAGCAGCTACTTTAATACCCCGAGTTGGCTCTACCAAAATGACGGCGGTCCAAGTTGTGCAGGGGTTCAGTCTCACCAACAGATGGCTGCTCTACGCCAGCATGATGCTGACTCCAGCCCAGTTTGTTTCTGGAATCGGCAATAACTGTCCCAGCAACATTGGCTTCTTGGCCTACAACTGGTATACACAGGTCCAATGGTACCAAGCCGTACGAGCAAAGCAACTACACGCCCTTTCTCTGCTACCGGTCTACTTCAACTTCATTTACGCCATTACATATTTCGGCGGTGTTTCCTCGGGCAATATTATCACCACGATTCTTCTCTGCATGGGCTCGGCGGGCGTCATGGTTCTGAATACAGTCTCTTCATGGGTGAGCTGGAAAACAAATCTCCCAGAGGGCATCGGAGAGTACCAGTTTTTCTTCTTCGGGTGGAGGACTCTCACTAAAGGCTGGCACACGTTCTTCCTGCTATGGCAAATCGCGGATTCCATGATGGCGTTCTCTTTCCTAATTGGAGCCTTCCAGTTGGGGTTTGCTGCATACAATTTCCGCGAATATGGCGAGGGAAAGAAGAAGATGCCATGGTACCTCAACAAATACATCCAAATCCCGCTAGGTGCGGCGGTCATGATGTTGTTTTTCGGCTGGATGCTTATTCTCTGGACGGAACTTATCGTTGCTCGAAACCACATCGAATCTGAGACTGATATGGTTGCGATATACCTTTTTATTGCCCAGGCCGTCGCCCTGGTTTTACCCAGTGCCTCTACCGTCTTCGGATGCGTGACGGGGCGTAAAGCGGATCGCTCTCAGGAACCACCTCCAGAGCAAGGTACGTTCATTCACACTGATTCCGCTGAACGCAGTGAGGCAGGACTCTTATTAACTAATTCGATGAGTTAGGTCCCAAGATGACATTGTTAGAGCGATTCTTCCTCTGGGTGGTTCGTAAAGGAGAAGAAAAGGAGTCACGGGTATAGAGTCATGATAATTAATGTGTAACCAGGGATATAGTTACCGTGGTAGTTGGTTAGTTATATTAGTTAATGAATCTCGACTTCCATGTTTTTTTAATTCATTTTCAAACCTTCAGACTTTCAGACTTCCAGACTTTTAGATTAACCAGTCCTGGGTGTAGTTGTAGAAACCATCACTCCAAGATATAGTAAATCGGACCAAATTGCCTCTCACAAAGAAAGTAAAGTACGGAGTATTGGAATCACTTTCTACTTTCATTTAATGTCGTGCCTGAACTTTGAGGCTCAAAGTCGGTCACGTGAAAGTAACAAGCGAATTTCTATCAAAGCATCTTCGGGACTCGACGACAGCAAACAATAAGAACCGTGTGGGTTAGAGAAACAGGCGCTGCTGCTTGTTATTGCAGTGAGAGAAAGTATTTTTTGCCGTGTCAGAGATTTATAGCGGATCACAGAATTTGATGCACCGCCATGTCGGACGGTCTAGTGGCTGCTATGCAGCAGGTTAAGATAAAGATGGACGCTATAGATCCAGATGGAGACTTAGATGCCTGGGCTGGAGATGATGAATTAGACAAACCGCGTAACCACAAGATTCAATCGACAGAAGAGTTGAAAGCTGAGTTGGAGAGAGAGTTTTTGATACCGTCCCCGCGGTTCAACACTCACTGGCTGAACAAGCTTCAGAGGTGAGCTGCACCCAGCCCTAAAGTGTCTGATACCATGCTTATGACTGTCATACCAGACGATGGGAGTATCCAGCAGATTACTCGCAGCTTTTTGAACTTGCACCGACTCAAAGTCGGACTATTATCAGATTCAACCGTGAAGGCTTGGAAGGCCGGGTCACTGGCTATCATGAAGTTACCGTTCCGGCCGGAAGTGCTACGGCAAAGAATTCTACTTCTTTACTAAGGAAGCCCGCAAGTCGTGCAGATTTTGTTAGAGGAGCTGCGGGATTTTACCCCTTTGCACCAGGTGGCCTTGAAGCAGTTGATGCTATCTCTGCCATCGATGTAGAGGCTGAACTGGATGAAGACCCCACTCTAGGAAGTACACCAACAAAACCATCAGGACTTGACAGGATTATCAATCTTGGCTCTCAAGGTGGTTTACTAGAGGTACCCCCTGGTTTCACTCGTGGGCTCAAGTTCGAAACCGAAGGAAACGAAGATGAACAGCAGAAAGCAAAAGAAGTCCGCGAGGAACTTGAACGTGAAGACGATACTGAACTTAAGCATCTACCGAGCCAGGACTCTAGGGATGCTACCAGGCAATCAAGTGCCGAGGAAGGTGACCAAGGGTCAAGCAGCGAAAGCGAAGAGGATATCGATGCTCTTCTACCTGTGGAATACCCTGCTCTTGAACCCAGGGGAGAACTTATCCAGTCATCCTTGAAAAAGTCTCGTAAGGAGTGGGCCCATGTTGTGGATGTTAATAAGGAAATAACCAATTTCTACGAGCTGGTTCCGGATATGGCTCGGGAATATCCATTCGAGTTAGACACTTTCCAAAAAGAAGCAGTGTATCATTTGGAGAATGGAGATTCCGTCTTTGTCGCTGCGCATACTTCTGCTGGAAAGACGGTTGTTGCGGAATACGCAATTGCTCTGGCAAATAAGCATATGACCAAGGCGATATATACATCTCCCATAAAAGCCCTGAGTAACCAGAAATTCCGTGATTTCAGAGGTACATTTGACGATGTTGGAATCTTGACTGGAGATATACAGATTAATCCGGAGGCAAGCTGCCTGATTATGACGACGGAGATTCTTCGGAGTATGCTTTATCGAGGCGCTGATTTAATACGAGACGTGGAGTTTGTCATATTTGATGAAGTCCATTATGTCAATGACCTGGAAAGAGGAGTGGTGTGGGAAGAGGTCATCATCATGTTACCTGAGCATGTTAGCCTGATCCTGTTATCGGCCACTGTGCCGAACACTTATGAGTTTGCCTCGTGGGTAGGACGGACGAAGAAGAAGGATATTTATGTTATTTCAACGCCGAAACGACCGGTACCATTGGAACATTATCTATGGGCTGGAAAGGAAATACATAAAATAGTCGATGCGGAGAAGCGATTTATTGAAAAGGGCTGGAAAGATACCGATGATATACTCTCAGGTCGTGATAAAATTAAAGCTCAAAAAGCAGCGGAGGCTCAGGCGGCTCGCGGAGGAAAACAGCCTGAGAGAGGACGCGGCCAGGGTCAGCGTGGGAGTGGTCAACGCGGTACAGGGCAACGAGGCGGTGCTCAGCAGAGAGGCAGAGGGCAACCCTCAGCTCGAGGAATTGGCAATATTGCGAGAACGGGACGTGGTGGTGGTAGAACCTCCGCTGCACAGGATCGCAATGTATGGGTTCATCTGGTGCAGTATCTACGAAACCGTGAAATGCTTCCAGCCTGCATTTTCGTTTTCTCTAAGAAACGGTGCGGAGAGAACGCAGATTCTCTTTCTAATCAAGATTTCTGTACTGCAGCGGACAAGAGTGCAATCCATATGGTCGTGGAGAAATCATTGACTCGGCTCAGGGTCGAGGACAGAGATCTCCCACAGATTCGCAAAGTTCGAGAACTTCTTAGCCGAGGTGTCGGTGTTCATCACGGCGGCCTTCTTCCCATCGTTAAGGAGATTGTCGAAATATTGTTTGCAAAAGGACTTGTTAAGATCTTGTTCGCAACAGAGACGTTTGCAATGGGTTTGAACTTGCCCACTCGCACAGTCGTTTTCTCTGGATATCGGAAACATGACGGAAGAGCCTTCCGAGATCTTTTAGCTGGTGAATATACCCAAATGGCTGGCAGAGCTGGTCGTCGTGGCCTTGACACAGTCGGGTCGGTCATCATAGTTACATCCGGTCGCGATGAGGCCCCGCCTATCGCGGCACTGAGGAAGATGATACTCGGTGATCCGACGAAGCTACGATCTCAATTCAGGCTCACGTATAACATGATGCTGAATCTTTTACGAGTCGAGGCATTGAAGATAGAGGAAATGATCAAGCGAAGTTTCAGCGAGAATGCTACCCAGGCACTTCTCCCTGAACATGAGAAACAAGTACAATTATCTGAAGCCAGCCTGCAAAGGATAAAGCGAGAGCCCTGTGCGATCTGTGATGTTGACCTTGCCGCCTGTCACCAGGCGGGCGTTGAATATGAACGTCTAACAATACAACTGCATACATTGCTTATGGCCTCACCTGTTGGCAAGCGTATGTATGCAGCAAAGCAGCTTATTGTGTTCAAAAAGGTGAGTAGTATGCATTATGCATCGGGATAAGTTGCTAAAGACTGATTTTTGCTCTTATAGAATGGTGTCAGGACGGCCGGAGTATTGATGAAGGAGGGTGTTACTGGAGGGCCTATACCGTCCTTGAGTGTTTTCGAGATTGGTCCACTAGAGTCTCGAAGGTTCCCAAGTGATATACTTCCGTACATGCCTATGTTTAGAGAGTACTTCCACCGACTGTCAACGTCGCCAGAGAACATGGCTTTAAAGAGTTGCAAAGTACCACTCGCCAATCTTGAATGTGTGACGGGTACAACAGTGCGAATTGGAGCACCAACCTGGTGCCTCAATATGCATAAAGGTTCGTTAATTAGAGTATGAAGGCTACAAAGATTGTGCTAACTTCCCCGCAGAGGCAGTGAAAGTGGCAGAGAAGGAGTTTTCAAAGTTGTGTGCATCCTGGATAGATAAAGCCTGGGATGAACTTGATTGGGAACGGGTCAAGGACATGTCGGTCAGGGAGGTTCTGGAGCAAAGGGCTCAGCAGGTTAAGATTGCACAGTCCTGCGCATGTCTTCAATGTCCACAGTTCCTTAAACATGTATGGTCTACCCTGGATGCATGACGGTGGTGATGATATGAGCTGGTATAGGCTGACATTTGCTGGGTAGTTCGAGATGCAACATGATGAATGGCAGGTGAAGGAGAATATCTCGCAACTGAAGCAGCTGATGTCGGATCAGAACCTTCAGCTGCTACCAGATTATGAACAACGAATCCAAGTTTTGAAGGATCTGGGCTTCGTCGATGAGGCTTGTCGGGTTCAGCTCAAGGGAAAGGTTGCCTGCGAGGTAAGTCTTTACCGCTACTTTTTGACTGAAATGGAACTGACTGTGTGACAATGGCACTAGATCCATTCTGCCGATGAGCTGGTGCTCACCGAGCTGATCCTCGAGAACATACTAGCAGAGTATGAGCCGGAAGAGATCGTAGCCCTCCTGTCCGCGTTCGTTTTCCAGGAGAAGACAGAGAACGAGCCAACGTTGACACCGCGTCTCGAGGCCGGTAAGGAAGCTATCATAGCGATCTCCAACCGGGTGAACGACCTGCAGATCCAGCACCAGGTCGTGCTGTCATCCGACGACGCCAATGACTTTGCAAGCAAACCACGGTTTAACCTGATGGAAGTTGTGTACGAGTGGGCACGAGGGATGACATTCAACCGCATCACGGACCTCACAGACGTGATGGAGGGCACTATCGTGCGGGTAATAAGTCGATTGGATGAAACCTGCCGCGAGGTCAAGAACGCTGCCAAGCTGGTTGGAGATCCATCCCTGTACAACAAGATGCAGCTGGCGCAGGAGATGATCAAGCGAGACGTGATCTTTGCGGCCTCGCTCTACCTCTAGCCCTCTGATCCCGCGCCAGAGCCAGCATCCACATCGCTACCGTCCAATATCAAACCCCCCCCTTTAGCCCCTTTTCCTCGCGCGGTTCAAATATATTTTTAAGCTTAAAAGTCAAAATCAAAAATACAAGGCACGGCGTACGGAGGCTGTAAATACGTCGCACACACCGCAATTATCGCCCAACGTTACTGTACGTAATTACATCGTAAGGCACCGCCAAAAATAATTCGTCCCCGCCAAATCTTTCTTGTTGCTTTCAATTCCAACGTCGGAAGCGAGAGAGACGCAGAGATATATACAAGTGTCAGGATACGAAATCAGCACCGCTGTCAGCCCTTATATCCGCCCGGCTGCTTACTCGGACGCCGTTTGCTCGAAGCCAGCGGGACTGCGTGGCCCCTCGTCGAGTCTACCTGATCGTGCGTATCCGGCACTAAGGGTTCCCTTTTTTTTTTATTTAAAGACGTTTGGCCAGGCTGCGCGCAATGGATGTCGCTACGCTCAGGGACCGTATAAAGTCGACTTTAGACAGCAATGGGGATAACCGGAGACAGGCTGAGTTGGACTTGAAATATGTGCGTGCTGGGGCATTTGTTGATATTGGGGGCTTGTTGTTTGATGCTGAGTTGACAGCTAACCTGTAACTCACCTACATTAGGCAGAGAACCAACCAGGCTTCCCCAACGCCCTTATTGATATTCTCGAAGCTGAGCAGGATCCGGCAGTTCGACTCTCGAGTAAGGATGCACTACTAGATCTAGGCAATTCCTTGCGTTGTCGGATGAGGATCGAGGCTAACACCTTGTTGCGCAGCGGTTGTATATCTGAAGAATAGGATCACTCGAGGATGGGCGCCAGAGGAAGAACACTCGATATACAAGTCGATACCAGAAGATGAGCGGCCGTCTTTGCGCAACCGACTTATCCCCGTTCTTGCTTCTTCGCCGCCCAACATCCGGGTTCAGTTGATCCCCATCCTCTCCAAAATTTTGCAATTCGACTTTCCCGAAAAATGGCCGGATTATATCGATATTATGCTGCAGCTGCTGAATGGAAACGACGCCAACTCCGTTTTTGCCGGTCTGCAGTGTCTCCTGGCGATATGTAGGGTTTATCGATTCAAGGGTGGTGAGATGAGAGGCGATTTCGATAAGATTGTTGAAATTTCGTTTCCTCAGTTGCTGAATATTGGAACTCGTCTCATTGATGAGGAGAGCGTGGAGGCCGGAGAGATGTTAAGAACTGTTATCAAGGCCTTCAAGAATGCTATATATGTATGTGTTTTGTTTGTTGCCTGGGTCTCATGTGCAGGACCGTTTTTGACTAACATCGGCGCAGTTTGAACTCCCTATTGCCCTTACATCTCACCAGGCCACGGTAGGTTGGTGTACCTTGTTTTTAAGAGTTATAGGGAAGATTCCTCCGGCGAATTCTATGCAAGAGGACACAGATGAACGAGAACAATCTCACTGGTGGAAGTGCAAAAAATGGTCATACGCGAATTTGAACCGTCTGTTTATTCGGTATGTAAAGAAGATCATGGTCATGGCCTTTTGATAAAATTGGAGCAAACCCCTGGCCCGCCATTTACGCTGATTCGTGATTCGCCTGCTTTGCTAACACCAATGTCTAGTTATGGTAACCCTACCGCAATTTCGAAATCAAGTGGACCTGAGTACACTGAATTTGCAAAGACCTTCATTACCACCTTTGCCCCTGAGATCTTGAATGGATACCTCCAGGAAATCGACAAGTGGGTTTCCAAGGGCCAATGGCTCAGCAGACCCTCTCTGTCTTATACCCTCATCTACCTCCAGGAATGTATCAAGCCGAAAGTCACTTGGGAGATCCTGAAACCCCATATGGATAACCTCCTGGCTCACTTCATCTTCCCCATCCTATGTTTATCGGACGAGGATATTGAAATGTTTGAGGCCGATCCATCGGAGTATTTGCATCGAAAATTAAACGTTTACGAGGAAGCCACCGTTCCAGGAGTCGCTGCTACGAACTTCCTTGTATCTCTGACAAAGACAAGGAAGAAGCAGACATTTTCCATCCTCACTTTCGTAAACGGGATTGTTAGCAAATATGAAGCCGCGCCCGACGGCCAGAAGCTGCCTAGAGAAAAGGAGGGCGCTCTTCGGATGATCGGAACCCTTTCGTCTGTTATTCTGGGGAAAAAGAGCCCCATTGCAGACCAAGTGGAGTACTTCTTTGTCCGCCACGTTTTCCCCGAGTTCCGCAGCCCACATGGATATCTGCGAGCAAGGGCTTGTGATGTCCTAGAGAAGTTCGAGCAGTTGGACTTCAAGGATCCCAACAACCTGATGACAATCTACCGCAACATCCTCGACTGTCTTGCTGATCCTGATCTGCCTGTAAGAGTGGAGGCTGCCCTTTCTCTTCAGCCATTGATCCGCCATAGCATCATCCGCACCTCGATGCGAACGAACATTCCTCAGATTATGCAACAACTTCTGAAACTTGCAAATGAAGTCGATGTTGATGCTCTCACTAATGTTATGGAAGATTTCGTCGAGGTCTTCTCTGCAGAACTTACGCCCTTTGCCGTTGCCCTGTGCGAGCAGCTCAGGGACACATACATGCGCATCGTCCAGGGCCTCCTTGAGAGAAAATCAAGCAAGCCTGAGGATGATATGTATGGTGACCTGCTGGATGACAAGAGTATTACTGCTATTGGTGTGCTGCAGACCATTGGCACCTTAATTCTCACTCTTGAGAGCACCCCTGACGTTCTTTTACACCTTGAAAGTGTCCTCATGCCTGTGATCACAATCACGCTGGAGAACAAGCTCTTTGGTTAGTATCTCGTATCTGGAAGTTGCAACGGTAGCTAACTGTAGTAGACCTTTATAACGAGATCTTTGAGATCATCGACTCTTGCACATTTACTGCCAAGTCTATATCTCCCAGCATGTGGCAGGCCTTTGTACTCATTCACAAGACCTTCAAGGCTGGTGCCGAGCTGTACCTCGAAGGTTTGTATTTCCATTACCCTTGATCCTCTGTTGATTGCTCACATTTTGGTGTTAGACATGCTGCCTGCTCTGGACAACTTTGTGACCTATGGCGCTGCCACCTTGGCTCAGAACCCAGAATACCTTGCAGCCGTCGTCAGTATGGTCGAAGACATCTTCCGAGACGAAAAGAGTGGCGGTGTAGATAGAATTTGCGGCTGTAAGCTTGCAGAGGCCATCATGTTAAATCTCCGGGGTCACGCAGACCAGTATATTCCTGTCTTCATCAGCCTGGCCATGCAAGTCTTGAGCAATGACGAACCCCAGACCAAGTCATACCTGATTCATCTGATGGAAATGGTTATCAACGCCATCTACTACAATCCCGGACTCTCTCTCCAGGTTCTAGAAGGTGGCCAGTGGACGAACAAGTTTTTCAGCACCTGGTTCTCGAACATTGACAACTTCAAGCGTGTTCATGACAAGAAGTTGTCAATTGTTGCTATCTCCGCCCTTTTGACTCTTAGAGCAGAGGATGTCCCAGCTAGCATCCAGCCAGGATGGCCACGTCTTCTCCAGGGAGTTACCCGCCTCTTCCAGACTCTTCCAAATGCGATCAAATGTATGTATTGTGGCTATACTTTATACAGGGAGATGCTAACGTATGTTTAGTGCGAGATGAAGCTGCCAAGGATGCTGATATCCCATATGAAGATGACGACGGGGACAATGATTGGAGCGGTCGTGATGTGGAATGGTCCGAACAGGACGCCTCTGAAGGCCCAGAAATTGAAGTGACTGACGAAAGTTCTGCCTATATTGAATTCCTACACCAAGAGGTATGCATCCTTGAGACGAAAGTGTGTATTACAACATAATCCGAATACTAACAGTCATGTAAGGCTCTTAAAATCGGCCAAGTCCCTGATGACGATGAGGAGGACGACCTATATGAAGCAAGTCTGCTAGAATCACCACTCGACAAGATTGAACCATACGGCCTGTTCAAGAATGTGTTAATGAGTACGTCGGCCACCCACTTTTTATTACCCCCGTCGAGGCTAACCGTAAACCACACAGATCTTCAACGAGAACAACCACACTTATACGAGAATCTGACCAAAATTTTGAACCCGGAGGAACAGCAAATAATCCAAGGTGTGATTAACGAAGCAGCCTCAATAGCAATGGCAGCTGAGAAAGCCGAAAAGGCAAACGGTTCTTGAAATCGGGAAACAAAACAAAGGTATCTATCCATCTAATGTTAATGATTTTTGCGAAAAGAATTCATCTCTCTGCAGCCAACAACGAAAAAAATTTGAAATATAACCAACCAAAAAAAATGATAAGAATGTTTGATTTGATTCGGTCTTTTTTCATTTCGTTTTTCTTCTAGATTTGGGGTGGTTATTTATATGCCAATTGTCCGTTTGCTCTCGTTTTTTTATATCCCAGGAACGAAATGCCTCGTTAGCGTACTCAATCAAATATGATGACATATTTCTATACTCTACTTAATAATGAAAACTTCCACGCACTTCTGCAGGTATGCTTACAAGGAGGAAGATATATATCTTGCTTCAAGGTTCGTATCCGGTACATAGGGGCTAGGTACCAGTTACCTAGCGGGTATGCTTGTTTGCCGAACTGATGTCCTGACGTCATACGGGTCAAAATCAGGATATAGAAAAACTATGGAGTGACATATATTAGAGACTGTATCTTGATGAGAATAATAATCTGATTCCTCAATTAAGTGAAAGACGAAAAAGACAAACAGAACCAACAAGTCATACACACACACGCTTGATATCAACCCGATAACTATACGACACCTTGCCCATACAAACCTGCCACTATCAAACAACGAGCTCGAACAAGAGATTAAAACGACAAAACATAAAACATAGCAGAAACATGTCTGCTCCAAAGTCTGGCCGTCAGTCACCTCCTCCATCGAGACAAGCTGGACGTCAACAAAGCGACATCCCAACATGGTCTGGCAAAGCAGAGGAGACGACCCGCGAGACGTCTTCGATCGATAACCCATCTGATCCACACGGTAAAGATCCCGGCGTGGCGGGGTTAGAGAGCAATCCAGTGCACCCGCTTGCAAAGACATCGCAAATGAAGCACAGAAGGCTCAGCGAGGATTTCCACGGGCTGTGTCCCTCGGGTTATTAGTTGGTGCTTCTACGACTTATGGTACGGAGACGGGGGAAAGTTGATAGCAATGTGAATATTTTTTGTGAAGGAAGTTGTAACTATGGATATTCAATTGATTGATTCATGATAATCGCTCACTTGAACGATAGTGGTGGTTTCATTAGTTACCATTAATATCATCACTAAGCACAGAAGTAAAACATTTATAAGGATATAAAACAAACATGGCCGAGAAGGAAAGGAAGAAATAGGAAAGGAAGTCGATTCGTGCTTAAAGACTATTTGGTCTCAGCGGAAGTTCCTGGTACGGTCGTAGGGGCAGAAGGGTCGCCGACTGGGACACCTGTGGGAGCAGTAGGGGCACCCTCAGTGGTATGCGCGGTTTGTCCTACAGCTGATTCGTGAGAAGAACCAGAAGTATGCTTCAAGTCTGCGAGACGACGGGCCTCGGTGTGGATGTCTCGGACCTGCTTGTCGCTCTGGAGATAGAAGTCTCTAATCTTGCGACCAGTAGGGGTATCAAGGGCCTTCTCGAAGTAAGAGCTTAGTCCGCGCCAGCCACTTACAGCCTTGTCAGAGATGCCGTAGCTCTCATCGATGCCCTTGGCCTTATCGGTGGCATGGTACTTTGAGTCGAAGTTCTTGAGGACGGTGTTGAACCGAGCGGATATGCCGTGGGACTTGTCCAGAGAAATAGCCTTTTCGATGGCCTGGTCGCTGATGACGTAGCCGTGGGCGAGGTACTCGGCAAAGATTCGAGAGCGTGGTTTGTCTTCTTGGTCGAGGTGGTTGTTGGCTTCGTCCCGAGCTCCATGGGCAGTGGTGGCCTTTTCGCCGGCTAGGTCGTCAATGCTTGGTGCAGCGGTGACCTGGACGGCAGAGGGACCCAGCTGTGTCTGGTCTAGTAGAAGTGCAGTCTTAGAGGCACTATTCAGTACGCTTGTCAGTACTTCACCATGTTTAATTGGGACAGATTCAGAGTAGCTTACGTCTCCTTCTCGAATGTGACGGTTGCGGACTGGGTTGCCTCGGCATCCCCGCTGCTTGGAGTGAGCGACAACGAGGTGATTTTTCCACTACACAGAGAGCTCGTTAGCATTGATCGGTTGTATATAGCGTCTTCCTCCTCGACTTACCAGAAGCTGAAGAAATCTCTGACTTCCTTCTCGGTGGTCTTGGGCGAGATGTTCGCCACATGCACGGTAGAAGACATGTTGAATCGAGTTGTAGTAGTAATTCTCAAGTATATTCAGGTACAGTTATTCAGGTATAATCGAGACTAATCAGCGTCGAGGCAAGTCAATGTATCTGATACAATCTATGATCTTCTTCTTATTATTATTCTCTTCGTCTTCTGCTGCTTCTCGCGGTCTTTTATAGAAGCAAAAACAAGCGCGCGGGGCAGAAAAAGTCACCGCCTGCGCCACGAGTGACGTCGCACGCTCGAGCCACCTATGACGTTCCGCTTTCCATGTGAAACGAGGCGGTGCTTTTCCTTGCAAGTAACCAAACTACCAGGCATCTATATTATATTCTATCAAGGATAATGGCTAGTGGACGTCAGGGATGTTGAGTGACTGTGGTCGTGATGGCATTGGTCAATTACTGCTGCTGGCCTATAAGAATACTGAGAATGCACAAAGGGAAACCCTGTCTGGAAATCAGCCCATGTCTACATGTCCCGGTCTAGCAGCATCCCTGCCCCGGGCCAGACAACCCGCTCGCTAGTTATCGAGCTAGACGTTACGACGCTCCCGCAGAATCTTCTCGAGCTCTCGAACCCGCCGTCGCAGGCTCTCGTTCTCCCGCTTGACCACTTCCAGCTCGGCTCGATGCCGCGCAGCCTCTTCGTACCGAGATGTGCTGGACGCAGACTCTGACCGACGGTGAGCTCGCATGGCCGACTCTTCGAAGCTATATGGCGAGTGTAGAGGCGGGGAAGACATGTCTGGCATTCGGGAGGAAGAGCCAGACCCTTCACGGCTGGTAGTTGGCCGCTGGAAGTCCATTGATTGGCGCGCGGACGATGCTCCGGCCTCTCGCGACGGGACTACGCTTGTCAGCGCTGCAACGGTGCTGCCGGGCACATAGCTTGAACCGCCGATGCTTGGGGAGCTGAGAGTCGACGATGATCTATGGCGAGATGTCGAGGTTGCTCGCGGGGAGGCTACGGTGCTGGTGCTGTACGGTACACCGTCGGCTTGCTCGTTGACGTTCGTGGATGTAGACGAGGTCGTTGAGGCGACGGACGCTGTCTGGGCACGCAGAAGAGAAAGCTCTCGCGTGAGACGGTTTACCTGCCACAGTAGGTCTCGGTTGGTATGGTAATGGTAACTATGGTATTGCAGGCTATACAACCCATGAAGCAACGACGGTAGATGCGTACCACTGCCTCTTGCTCTTTTTCCAGCTCTAGGTGTATGTCTGATATAGTCATAGGTCTGGGATGACGTAGCGGGCCTATAGTTGTTTGGGTGGTTGGTTAGTTGGTTTATCTTTGACTAGGGACCAGACAAGGCGACTCGACTCACCCGGCCCGCCGCCAACGCCTGTATTGTCACCACTGGACGAGGAGGTAGAGTGCGGCAGCGGAGGAGGCCTCATCGTCTGAGAAGCACGGCGAGACAGCGACGAGGACGACATCGATTGGGACGTACGAGCTGTCTCGGCCTCTGGAGCTTCATCAATGGCGCTGCCTGGCGATCCGATGTTCAGCCCTGGAGACATCGTAGGCACCGCAGCAGTCAATTTTTAACTTATACTTGGATATTCAGGCACCGGCCGTCCTCGTTGGGCTCTTCTTATAAGCAGAAGAAGGCAAATCAAGGCGAGTTTTAACGAACAGGAGCCCGAACGGCCTTTTGTTTATTATTTATTTGACGGAGAAGGAGTAGGAAACTAGTTATTCTGATCTTGGCTGCATAAGCGGTTATCGTACCAGCCATCCCTTTGGAGCGAAGCAATCTAGGACCCATGTCATGTACCGGCCAGCAATGACATACTTCATGCTTTGGACACGGTGAATACATGATATGCATCGCTGGCAGGTGTCACGATATATACGTGTATTCATTCGTTCATCAGATCGATTGACTTAGTATATCCAGAGCAAGGCAACAAGCTTATAATGTAGAAAGTCCATCAAGTATAGACCTTTTCAATGCTAGGCGAACGTATCTATACAAAAAGGAGACGGGGGAAAAGGAAGTGAGTGCAGTAAACAATTTTTGAAACGGGGAAAAAAAGACCAAAATCCTACCCAGTAGACAGAGAAAGGCACAGAGCTTCCAACCCTGAACTCCATTGACAGAGCTATGCAATTTATCCCTGATCAAAAAAACGCTCCCCTGATACCGGTCACATAGTTACCATCCATCCATCCATCCATCCACCCATCCACCACAGCCACGACAAAAGGAAAAGAAAAAACCAAACGGGGTCGACGAAAGTCACCCGGAAAAGGAGAGTTGGGACAAGAACCTCCATTCGGATTGGGGTTCTGTCATGTATATAAAACTGTATGCTGTATAAACACCCGGGTCTAACTGATAGGAGATTGGGAGGATATCTCCGTAGATCGGGACTGAGCTTCTTTCCCTTCAAACGAGTGGTCATCGGCTCTTGGACTTTCGCGTTGACGATCACAAGTCCCCGAGTCGCCAGCCTGATTGCTTACGGGGACGGGAACCGGCTGGCTGGAGGTCTCGGTTCGTTCGTTCTCAGCATCACCGACCATGGCTGCGAGGCTGCGGAAATTAAACACGGCGTCGATGTTTGGAGCTGAGCCGTTGGGAGTGCCGGTGTCCTTTTGGTCGTCAAAGGCGGACTCGACCAGCGATATGTCGGACGACGATGCACTTGACTGCGAGCGTAGATGTGGTTTTGGCGAGGGGGATGTCCCTGCTTGAGTGGAAGATTCGCCTGCAAGAGGAGTGTTGAGTGTTAATTTGGGCGGCTTTTCGGCAGTCTGGGATGATGATGATGGTTCCCCTTGATCTGCTGGAGCTAGGTGAGCTACACCTTTACCCTTATCCTGCGAGGGGATGTTATCTGCTGAAGGTCCGGCATCAGGAGAAGCAGCAAGGCCGTGGGTAGCAAGGTTGAGAGCAGAATTGCTGCTTTCATTGGTGCTAGAGGTTTCTTCGTTCTGAGCTGCCGATTTTCCGCCTCTTTTAGCTTCCTTTTCGCGCTTCTTCGCTTCTTTCTTAGCCTCTTTCTCCTCCTTCTTCCGCCTCTCTTCTTCGGTAGTAAGGCTGAGGCGGATAGCTTCCATTATCATCATCTCTTCTATCTCTTCCGCTCTGCTCCGTTCTCGCCTTGAAGCATTACCTCTCGCAGGGCTATTGGATTGCTCATCGCCGTCGATACGCTCCGCGGCGCGTCTCTCGGCTAGATAAGCGAAGGCATTGACATGGGTGGAGTTGTTCCGGGCTGTTGGGCTATCATTCCCCGTGCCTCTGCGCAGGAGAGCCCTTCTTCCAATGTTTGCCAGATTTCTGGATTCACTATTCGAACTGGGCGTGCTATTACTGTTGTTGTTATTGCTGTTGTTGTTCATTAGATATGCTGCAGTGTGCAAAGCAGTAGCGGCAGCTGATCGTCTTGCAGCATTTGCCCGAGCAGTAGCTAACTTCTGCGCCCAATCAGGACGAATCTTATCAGTAGTGATAACTCCGGGTGCATCCGCAGATAAGGAGGTAGCACGTCGTCGTGTCGTCGTCGTCGTACCAGGGCTTGCATTCGCCGAGTTTAAAGAGCTTGATGACGACATTGGCGACGCTACTGTTGCCAGATGATGCTGGCCATGGCCTGGTGCGTAAGCGAGACCACGACGGAACGGGGGTTGCGCGTATGTTACACCAAACTCGGGCTGCACGCAAAAAGGGCAGGCAGCAGGTTCGGTTACAAGCTGTTGCTCAGATTCGTTTGTCTGTGACTCACTTTCCCGGGGCGGGTTTGCTCCAGGCTGTTCGTGTTCGGGAGGATGTGGATCAGCTCGTTTGATCTGCACGAAGCATTCTGAACAGATCGGTTGGTCACAACACCTGGTCTTGTTGAGGTATGGTGGGTAGTAGAGGAAACAAATGGGACATTCCATGGGGTCTTTGTAGAGGTAGACCTCGATTGGCTGGCCGTTCACAAACGGATCGTGCGGAAGCTGGAATTCCCGCGGTGCCATGTTCGCATTGGATTTGGATGAAGTGGTCAACGATGCCAGTGTCTTAGCTCGGCCTCTGAATAGCTGTGAGCCAGAGGTGTTGGCGCCGGCTGGGGACTGAGGCTGGGGAGAAGTCATGCGTGCGCCAGCTGAGCTGTCAGAGTTGAAAGACTGTGACCTGGACGTTATTGGGACAGTGAGAGCACTGAGAAATTTGTCACTTTGCCGGTCTTCCTGGGACACTGGAGGTGGTGCCTTGTACTCGAGCTCTGGAGGGACTTCGTCTGCTGGGGGGATAGGTAGACCTCGGGCGGCAGCCATGATCTGATGTTCTGCCCAGGACGACGAGAAGTCCTGCAAGCCTCTCCAGAACGGGGCAATTCGTCGTTCGATCTGTAGTCCACTGTTAGCCATATGCACATATATATGTTATGCATTGATACCAGAGAAGACCACCCAAAAAACATACCATCAACTGGCGAACAATCGGCTTGTTGAAGTCCTCTGTACCAACGTAGACACCCTGCGTAACGAGATAGCCACCATCAACGTGCTCTGTTTTCATACTCCGCTCTCTCTCCTTGATCCTTGCCGCTCGTTCCTTTTCACGCTTTCGAGCTTCTCGCTCCTGTCTTGTCTCCCGCCGCGGCTCCGATGACGACGTGCCCCTATCCATGCTTGACAATCCGAGGAACGACCGCTCCTGCGAGCCTCCGCCACGGGACGAATCCGCATCATGGTATGTGCGCGACTGTCCATGCCTGAGGCCCGAAGGCCTGGCCTCCTTTGTGGCTGCGTTTCCCATCCTGATCGATGGAGCCTGTTATGACTGACTACCTCGCGGCGGTCCCCGGGCAGATATCTGCAAGAGAACTGGAGCAATATCTATTCACACAGCCGTTCTGTATGCTGATTATATTCGAGCGTTCAAAAAGGGCATTCACCGTGTCTCAGAGACAGGTCGACGAGTAAAAAGGACCCTGCAGACGATGCGTGGTTCCAACGGGAGACCGGTTGGCCATGCGAATCGCACAGGTCAGGGAGGGCGTATCAGGAGGCAAAGGTATCCGGTACGGTCCGTGTCAGCCGGAAGAGGCTGGTTTGCATCTCTCTCCAGACCCTTTTCCCTGATTCTCGCTCGCCTCGTCTTCGGGGGACGGCGTCGTGTATCCTGCCTGGCCTGCTCTCTTCACGCAGCAGCTGAGGTCATGGGTCGGTCCAGGTAGCTACGAGCTTTTTGTATCCTGCGTCAACGTCGACAAGCGGCCTGCGCGAGTGAAGGCTAGAGTCAACCAGCCCAGCTAGACGGAAGACGCGGCAACGGAGGGGGATCTATCCCTGGTTCTAGTGTTGGCGGGTGCAAGAGCTGCGGTGCGGTGCGGTGCAGTCGCAGGCGTGAGGTTGGTTCGACTTTTTGTGAGACTGAGACGGCTCGACCGGAGAATTTGAGGTCGATGCTTGGGGTCACGAGCTTGGCAGGCGAAGACGAAGAAGAAAAAAAAGAGTCGCTTCATGTGAATTTCTTCTTCTTCACCACCACAACAACCACCACAGCCACGATACAGAGAAATATAGGCGAAGAAGAGCTGTGAAAAGAGAGAGAGAGAGAGTGTGTGTGTGGTAGGGACCAGACTGAAGAGGTTGTGACAGAGAGAGACCAAGCAGATGTCAGACGCAGTTAAACGCCTGCACATCACGCCTCTAGACGCCGCGATCCTCGAGACAGTGCTACAGCCCTCGATCCGCCCGCTTGCCACTGATATCTCGTTCCATACGATAGAGACACACCCAGAGAACAACTACGGATTCGTCAGTCTTCCCAGGGCCGAGGCAGAGAGGCTCACCAAGAAGCTCAACGGCGCATTTCTCAAGGGCAGGAAGCTACGGATAGAAGAGGCCAGACCAGCTCCCAGCAGCCAATTGCAGGTGGAACCAGAGGTCAGAGCACAGTCTACAGGGTCTACAGGGCCTGAGAAGGGGGTGGCTCGCAAGCGGAAGGCCATTGACCACGTTATCGAGGGCTACGAGCTGCCGTCGCCGCGGAAAGTAATGCGAGGATGGACTGAGCCTCGTGCCTCTTCGGGGAGATCGAAAAAGAAGGACTCGGACTCGAAAGAGTCGAAGAAGAGCAAACAGCCGTCCAAGTACTCGAGTGGCTCAGAGTGCTTGTTCCGTACTGTCCCGCCGGCTAACAAGTCTACAAAGACGAAGTCGAGCTCGAGCAAGAAGAAGGGAGGGGATGAGTCTGTGACGGTACACGAGTTTAAGCGGACAGTCAAGCATCCAAGCTTTGTCAAGTCAGGCGAGAATGTTGCCTCTTCAAAGCTTACCGGTGAATATGTAGAAGGGAAAGGATGGGTGGACCGGGAGGGCAATGTCAAGGAGGAGCCGCCAAAGAAGAGCGAGAGGCCGGCTCAGACGCCTGTGAGGAATAAGCAGACGCCCAAGACTGAGAAGAAGGCGGATGCGGCAGAGTCACCGGCTGCCAGCGACAAATCTGGCTCTTCAGCAGCCGATTCCTCAAGCAGTGAAGATTACACGAGCTCTGACGGGTCAGATAGTTCGTCTGAATCTGAATCTGACGAGAAGGCGGAGGAAGACGACGAATCTGACACCTCAAGTACGGGAACATCCAGCTCTGAAGAATCAGAGAGTGAAAAACTAGAGGCTGTCGAGCGGGAGACTCCAGCCCCAACAGTCGAAGGAAACAAAGATACCCCAAAAGTTCATCCGCTAGAAGCGCTATTCAAACGTCCAAAGCCATCCAATATCTCCATCCCAAACCCCCAGTTGACTATTGACACGCAGTTCAGCTTTTTCGGCAACGCAGAAGAGTCCGGCAGTGACGACGAAGCTCGGGACAAGTTATATACTGAGCCGCAGACTCCCTTTACGGTGCAAGACCTGCAGTCTAGATCCATGCGAAGTCTGGCTCCTACACCGGACACTGCACTTCCTACCAAGATCACCTTCTGGGGCGAGGACTCTAACATGAATGATTTACATCATGACGATGATGATGACGATGACGATGACGGGCCAGATACGCCCTCTGCTGAGAGGGAGCTGCCTTCTTCGCCCACGAAGCCCGGTGCTAAACGCGGGAAAGACGCCGCTGAGGACAGCGAGTTTGCTCAATGGTTCTGGGAGAATAGAGGAGACAACAACCGGGCATGGAAGCGGAGGAGGAGAGAGGCTGGCAAGGAGAAACGCCAGCGGGAGAACAGGAGCCATAGTTCCAGGGGCAAACGATAGCATAGATATCACGACGCATGAATCTTCCACTTCAATTATCACATCTACTACTATCTCGGCATCTTCTCGTCTCTTCTTTTTCATCTCATCTTGACATCTATCTCTTCTTTTCATCTCATCTAGGCTTCTATCTCTGTCTTCTTCGTCTCTTCGTCTTCTCAGCTGATAAGATAAAGCCTTACATAAGCGGCGCCTCATGATCGCATTTTACCGCAACTCGCGGCGTTTGAAGCAACGAAAGAACGACATGAACGGCAGATAAAACCAGCCAAAACGACTGCGATCATGATACTACGAAGACCTCAGCTCCAGGTGTTGCTGCTCTTCATCTTGCCCCTGCTGTCCTTTGTTTCCGCTGGTAGTACGTCAACCGCCCTCTCACCTCGTATCCTCGTCCCCGAATCCACCAGCTAACCATGAATCCCATCTGCCTAGAACCTACGTCCTTCTGCAAGTGCACCTGCTGGACCAACAGCACCATTATCCCTCTCGGCCCTCCAGGCTCAGTTGCACCGCTCGAACCACAGCCTCGCGACACGCTCTCGTTTCGAGACTTCATCAGTAGCCGAGACAATGCGGTGAATTCGGAGGCAGAGGACGAGGCGAAAGACCATGGAGGACGGACCTGTAACGATTGCAATAGACGGTTTTGCCTAGACCAGCATTTGCCGAAGTGCAAGGGCGCCGTGGAGGAGAATGTTGTTACGACTTGTTTCCGTGAGTGTTTACGAGGAGGTAACGATGGCCTGCGGGTGGCGGGTTGCTAACATTCGACGACGGCATCAGAGCGTGATTCGAACAAGGACAAGGCTGTTGTTTTCATATTCATCATTGCAACTGCGAGTTTGTTGGCCTGGGCTGCTGTCAAGCCATGGGCAGAGACATGGATTCAGGTATGTTGTGCTCCCACCTCCATCAAGGTAGTTGATCGATCGCCTTCGACCGCTCCAGCTAACTGGGTACCTTCCGATATATAGCGCTTCAGAGAAAGGCGTTCGTATCTCCCTATTTCGTCAGAGGGAGAAGGCAGATAAACTGGTTATGCTGGTCATGATTTGAACTTGGAATTTTGATCGCTTGGGTAGGCATGTTTCTTGACACACAATGGGTGAACTGGCGCTTTTCTTTAAGGGTCTACATGTCAGAATTTGCAGCTTCATGGCTGCAGTTGTAATTTGTGTTTTATATTGATCGATGGACCATCCGCCTGCATTGCCCAACCGTGTGTTTGATGGCGTCGGAGTCATCTCTTAGATATTTGATGTATACGAATCTGAACATTTTATACCCAGCATAGCTAATGGTAGATCGCTATGTATTCAATTTGACATGACTAAATTAACATCGTAATGAAACTGTACCCGTGCTTCTCATATATCGGACTGCGCGCAGTCGTAGAAGCAAAACAATGAACATCGTAAAGTAGCAGCAGACGTCGTTGAAATGTAAAGAGGAAAACCATAACTCCCGCAAGCAAAGAATTCAAGGCTAAGTAGAACGAAGGAATAGAAACTCCGTCTCCGGGTCTTGTGTATTCGGATCGTAAGGAGATTTAACAGGCGATGGAAAGTCTAGTCTCTTGCAGGTTGAAAACGCAAAAGAAGAAAAACAATCACTCTGAATCACTCTTCATGGCTTTCGCGTATGGACCAAATTATACCAATGGTTGGCGTTCATGTGGTCTCTGTTGTTCTTCCTCTTCCACATGGATGTGGATGATAGGAGGATGAGATTCCACATGTCTAGAGAAACACGGGGGACGGGCCAGTATGGAAACACTTGTGTGCGGTTTACCACTCATAAACCAAAGCTGTAGAGCTCCAAATATAGCTACCAGGCTGCTAGCCCACCAGGCAATTCCGGTAAATCCGATTCGGGTCCCGACAGTATAAAGATATCCGGCGACTGGCGGGGCAAGTGTTCGGCATGCCGCTCCAGCAGAGGCTGCAAGGCCGTTGATTTTCCCGAGGGTATTGTACGACGGACTGGCTTGTTTGATCAAAATGAGCAGAACGGGGTAGGCTAGGATGGAGAAAAGGTTTCGGATTGTAAGACATGTGTAGATGCCAGGGTATAAGAGGCTGGCTGGTAGGAAGACCAAGAAGGGTACAATAAAGTATGCCAGGGGATGGAGGATCGTAACAAGAACAAAGACGCTCCATACGCCTAGCCATTCAGTGACAATGGGGAAGACGAAGGCCTGAATTGCCAGGGCAATGACTCCGTTTACGGCCATGATCAATCCAACGGTTTGTGTGGATAGAGCTAATCCTCCTGGGATGTCCAGGGGCGAGGATGGAATGTGGTTGATAATACCATCTCGCGAATCCTGAAGAAAAATTGGGAGGAGGTGGTCATAGGTCATGGAATGGTAGGTGAAGATGCCCAGAGCGATGATAAGCATAGTCACACGCTTTGTGAAGACTTTACCCGAATCTGGAGCTGGAAGACGTTTCCCATCTGGTCTGACATACCATTCCTCATCCTCGTGCATGTCAACTTCGTTGAAGGTGCCATATGACTTGGCGGTCAAGTCTGCACCGGCATGAGCGGTAGATCCAGCCGTGGCAACGGCATAAAGGGGAGCACCGATAGTATCGTTATCGTCCTCGTTAGCGGATTGTTCCGCACCTTCGGCTCGAGTATGCTGGGGTTGGAAGTCGGGATGCGTCTCATCCAGGAAAAAGTACCCCGCAAAGATACTGATAAAGAGTAGCAGCGAACATATTATGTTAGGGAGTAGGTAAGGGAAAGAACCAAATAAGCCTGATGGAGAGAAGAGCGAAGGGAAGGATTTATAGGGTTGCGCAAACGTGCCTCCAATCGCTGGGAAAAGTTAGCAGTGACTGTAAGGCTAGTTAAGAGCTTTAAGGAAAGGGGTATACCTGGGCCAATGATTGTCCCAATGGACCAGACAAATGGCATAACAGCGTATGCTCGTGCTATGAGAAGTTAGTGTACATATATAGCCAGGAAAAAGATATTAGCATGCTTAACTTACGTTCATGGTCTGGGTTCTTGACCACCTCTCCTACCATTGTCTGGATAACACCGACATTCCCATTCAGGAGGCCTCCGATAACTCTGCCGAGGAGAGCCATCCAGAAGCTCCGGGAAAACCCGACTACCATAAGAGACAAGACAGTACCAGCACATCCTAGAAGAAGAACAGGCTTGCGACCAACTTTGTCCGACAGGCTTCCCCAGAACATTCCAGTCAGGCTCTCCGACAAGGCAAAAGCAGCGATGATGATGCCGGCGTAAAAGGACGCATTGCTCTTGTCTCCAATGTTGAAATCCTTAACCATTACCCATGAATATGGGAAGATGGAGGTCAACGCGATCGGCTCTGCGAAGCGACATACCGCTATTTACTTGTCAGCGCAGCCCAACACGCATTAAAGGCGAGGGGCACTTCAACTCACCTAGGATGAATAGCTGGAGGGTCGGAAACGCGTCGTCGGCGGGAGAAGTAGTCGGAGGAGAAGAGTTATGGTGTCTTGCCTGACGTGTTAATCTCATGGTTCTATATATTCTAGTCTGGTTCTTACGGCTATCCTCCCACGCAACCCCCGTTCCCTCTTTTCAACCAGAACCTGTTGTCAGTTGAGATGGAAGACGAGACACTGCACGCTCTGCCGACTGGCCGAGGAAGATCAAATATCAAGGAAAAACTTGGGGCAGTATTGCCAGCGATGGCCAATTATATTGATTGATGCGAAGGGGGGGGTTAGGAGAGAGTGGTGTCCGTCAGGCCGCTCTGTCACGTCTGTCTGCCAACCGTTTCCTGTTGTTCAGAAGTCGCCTGTCCCGGGCCAGTTCGCAATAGCCAGAACAGGCGGACGAGAGACCAGAAAGATCACCGAGTAAAGGCTTGTGCAAACTTGCTGGTCGAGTGTGATTGTTGTGCGTTGCTGTGGCGGGCGGTGGAGTTGAGAGTTGTTGAAGTGGGAGGAGAGTTGGCAGCTCAGGAGAAAGCGAGGACGGATAAGGGAAAAGTCTGATCACGAGTGGCGGTCTGCTTGGTACGGCAAACCATGGGTGACATGGGTCCCTAGCCGCGGAGTGCGTACATGGTGACGTAGTACACCTTTTGGCCGTGGGCTGAGCGGCAACTGAGCCAAAGAAACTAAGTGAACCGGGCCTTGGTGGTGGGGAAGGCCGACTGTCTGATACATGGTTACAGGCCTTGGGAACCCCGGGTGTTCCTACCAGACGGAAGTGACTGAAGATCTTCCGCTGTCAGCAGCTGCGCTTGGGCCCGGGTGAGCCCGCAGAACACGATGTCTGGTCCGCCTGGCCTATCTCGAGTCGTATTGACGAGGAACAGCGCATCTTGCATATGCACCGCGATTTTGATAAGATGAGGTCGAAAATACCGAAAAGGGGAAAAAGAAGCGGCGGATATAAGGTTTTGCCTTTGCTGAAGATTTAAGCGCCAAGCTTTGATGTGGGCGGTAATTTACTGTATTAGCGCCGTATTAAGCGAGTATTTTATTTCAATAAGTCTCCCCTGTGTGCTTATGTCATGATTATGTCATCCTTTGTTTACTCCGGTTGCCGGGCCAAACGACCAAAACATCCAAAAAGTTCGCTTTTCTTTTCTTCATGCGACACACACACCTGGGAGATATACATATAACTATTGCATTCTCTCGGACCATCGGCAGCATATAGCTTTGATCTATCACTTGATAGCATTTTATGATATCCTATGCAGGACACTCCTAATGCTTGGGCCTTGAGTTGAAACGCTAAAACAAAAGTATCAGCAACAAACGAAGACCAAGAACCGGATTACGGAGTACCGACTGTGACGATGGACTGTCCGCTATCACCTTTATCGCCCTCGAGGCTTAATTCCCGCCCATCGCAGCTTCAGTCACTTGCTTCACCACTGTCGAAGAGTCCCATGGGCGACGTCGAGGACCTAGATAACTTGTACTACGATGAAAACACCACCCCGTCAAAACAACCCAGGAACTCCCCCGTCTTTGATATCCATGAAGACCACCATCATGACCAGTCCGGCTTCCAGAATCCTCCTAGCTCTCCTTTTCAAGATTCAATAAATATCGAGTATACGGATCGACTTGACGAGGGTCCTGCTGGATTCTTCACCATGGAAGATAGCTGCCACATTGAGCCCACACATGACACACACGAAGATTACACCGAACATGACCTGGTTATGGACGAGCATGAAAAGCTGCCAGAAGACCGACCAGCTGATACAGTTGAAGTGGGTAATAACCACGAAGACGAGAAAATTGTTGAACCAGAGACTGCACGACAGTCTTTAGCCACAGTGGTTGAGGAGAATAACCATGAACACATGAGCATCGTCGGTCATAGAAACGAAGGAGAGAGCTCTATATGCGACAGTGTCCACGGTGACAACAGTGTGGGGGATCACACAAGTCTCAGCACCTTTTCAGCAGTGCCCAATGCAGACATGACTCTATTCTCCAAGCTCAGAAACGACTCTACACTTAAAGGTACCCCGAATGTTAGAGACCAAATGTCACAAGTGACTCCTCGATCAGCAAAACGAGCCTTGAACAGGCGCGAGCCAGGAGCGTCATCTGGCGAAACAGACTCATCCAGCTTCCCACGTTCTCCTGTACGCAAGTATATGCGCGTTGAGGACAACCCCAACCTTTTAGACTTCACGGACCACATGGATGTATCTACCAACGCTTCACTTGAGAATCATAGGTCACCCTACAGGGCTCGACGAAATTCGACAAGAAAGCCAGGAGAGAATTTCAGGTCTCCGAACAAACTTTCTCTTCTGGACTTCGACATACCACCACCTGCCACTCCTCGATCTATTCCCTCAATTACCCCCAGGGAGTTGGAGTCTTTGAAATCTTCCTTTTTATCCCAAATATCCTCTCTAAAGGCTACTCTCAATGGAAAAGATGCGGAAGTCGCTAGTCTCAAGGAGTCCGTCTCTGACGCTGAACGCCGTGTGGGAGAGGCATTGGAGCAGGTTAGAAATGAAGCAGCGAAAAAGGAAGCTCTCGAATCAGAACAAAATGAATGGGAAAGAAGAAGCCAGGAAATGAAAGATGTGTTGAGAACAGTCAAGACCGAAATGGCTGACGGTGAGAGAGAAAGGGAAAGACTTACTCAACGGGCGGAAGAGGCCGAGAGAGCCCGAGAAAAGCTGGAGGGAAAGCTGGTTGAGTTGGAAAGCCAACTTTCGGCTGCACCGGAGCAGCAATGGGACTGGTACACAAGACTCCGCTCAGCCGATCTAACGTGACACCAGAGACTCGGATGAGACGCCAGAGAAGTTCAAGACGCTGTTGAGAGAGTCGCTCGTGAACTACACGCCTTGTACAAGGGGAAGCATGAGACCAAGGTTGCCGCCTTGAAGAAGAGTTATGAAGCTCGCTGGGAGAAACGTGTGAAAGAGGGTGAAAACAAGCTGAAAGATGCCTTGGGGAAAATCAAACACCTTCAGTCTGAGCTGAACGAGGCAAAATCTAAACTTGCCGATGAGGGGGCTGCGCCAGGGGATGCCACGATGCTTCGAGAGAACGAAGGCCTAGAGGCTGAAAAACGGGTGCTGGAAGCCCGAATTAAGGGCCTTGAGCAGGAGATGATGTCCCTGAAGCAAGATAGCGAGGACCTACGCTCCGAACTCAAGGCCGAAAGGGCAGAGAAGGGAGAACTTGTTGCAGTAGTGGACGAATGGCTTCAAATGCAGCAGGATACCCAGCCAGCCCCCGAGCCAACTGAGAAGCCATGCACGCCGCCCTCCGAGGAACAAAATGGAGAAGAAGAAAGAAGCGAGGCTGTCCCTATCTCCCAGCCAACACCAGCTGTAAGCAACAGCAACATTGGACTGAAGAGCTCTACCTCCTCCCGCCCACGCCAACTTCCTCAAAGTCATACTCCCAGGATCCCGCGCTTCGGGGCCCCAGCTGGCAGTAAGATCGCTGCCAGCGGTATTGCAGTGGGAAAAACTCCTGGCCGCAGTGGTATTATGAGTTCTATCGAGAGAATGGGAAGAGGTGGAAACTGAATAAAAACCCGGAACTACAGTACTAATGATGGATTTGCTTGCTAACTTTTTTTGGCCTTTTGATGTTTATGAGTCTAATGCTTTCGTTACGTTGGTGTTTGTTTTAATGACTAGCTTGTTCGCCTAGATACCACACAGCAATGAGATTTTCATGTTTAAATGATTAATTAGTGGTGGTTATACATGAGTAATGAGTAGTGTGCGTGCTATTGGTACAATAGGGGGCTAAAGTAGGTATCCTTTCCCCTCAGATAAACTCCGGCAATAAATTCCTAAGAATTCTCAATGACCTTTCGGGTTTCACCCTCAATATCATATGAGAACACCTCCTTTATCCACGGTGGTGCTGGGAAGAAACCTACACACGTTCCATTAGCGAGTATCCCCTTTACGAAAATAAGAAGAGCCACTTACTCATAAGGTACATTATGAAATACATAAACCATTCCTGGAAGGCGGAAAGATCCCGCTTCTGGTTCTGGTATTTCCTCGCCTGATCGATAATCGCCTTGATTCGAGGCATGCGTATATCCATGAACTTCTTCGCTGCCCATGATATACTCGCCTTTCGAGTCTGAAGCGCACTCTCCTCTGATGGTTGCTGTCCTTCCTTGCCCAGGCTATGAGCCAGTAACATGGAGAAAGACTCTACATCTTCCATTGCCTGAGACACGCCTTGGCCTGAAGTAGGTGGAAGAGCATGCGCGGCATCACCAATCAGCACCACACCGTGTCTTTCCCAAGTAGGCAGTTCCGGCACTGTCCAGACAGGATACATATTCTGTATATCAGCTGAGGCAAGGATTTTCTGTACCACTGGACTTTTCCATGAGGCATGTCGGGCCTTTACGTCTTGGAGGACTACGGCCTTGTCTATGGATTTCGTGTCGGGACATTCTTTGGCTTCGTACGTAGACCACCACATCACGGAGTTGCCTGGTTTGAGTATTCCTTGTGGGACATGGCGATTTGGTTCGTCCTTGTCACTGCTGGTATAGCAGTAGCCGAAGAAGCCGTTTCCACCGAACACCAGGTTCATGGTTCCTGGCTCCATGTGGTCGTGGAGCTGGTCGGCCGGGAAGAACCCGCCTACTCCAACGACTCCCCTGGTACATTGTTAGCTGTGCGAAACAGGATAGTATGTGCCATTTTCTCTTATAGTAAACGTTATGGTATAGTCGAAGAGAAGACTCACTCATAATGCGGTGGGTATTGGTCCTCTCTGTCCTCCGGAAACAGAGCGGACTTGGTAACGCTCTTGAGCCCATCAGCACCGATAATTAGATCCGCCTCGGCATCTGGGCTACCATCAACAAACTTGATAATATTCCGCCCTTCCAACCTTGCAACGACGGACGCCACTCGCTTGTTGACGACAATATCGTCCGGGACACGGTCTCGGAAGCATCGCCACAGTGCATGCCGGCTCAACGAGGCGGAGTTAATCTTCGGTTCCGAGCCAGAGGCCGCCATTTTCACGAGATTCCATCCATGAGAAGTTTTCATTTGTTGGTATGCATATGGGTATCCCATCTCAGCAATGGTATGGTATATATCTTCATCCAGCCGTCGGACGCAACTCAAACCGTTTGGTCCAATTGCCAGCCCAGCGCCCACAACGAAACTTGAGGAATGCACTTCTCCATCAGCGTAGTTTTGTGAAGATGATGCTGAAGTGTCGTATGCCTCGTAGATGGTGAATTCGTGGTCTTCTCCGGGCGGAAGTCTCTTCTTTAACGCGAGATAGACTGCGCACCCGCTGATGCCAGCGCCAATTATTGCTATCTTCATCGTGGCAAGTATCTACTTTTTTGCACAGATAGATATATAATATCAATAGACCTGTTCAGCAAGCATCTAGTCAGATATTTGACCATCTTTATGCCGGCAGAGAGAATGTTGCTGCCTTCTTCCTCTTTTGGTTAGTGAGTTGGCTGACGAGTCTAAAAATAGGGCAGCCAAATTTTGGTCTGACCCAAGTTGATGTTTGATTGAACGGAACAGCTCAAGTTGTTCATTATCAAGGTCTTTGGTACGACCATTATTGTTACATGGAGAGACGACCTGAGAGTTGGAAGGACTCGCTAGCGACTGCAGGTTATCTTGCGGGAAACAACTAACTAGTTAACTAGTTACTAGTTGGCCATGTTATAGTCCCTGATGGCTTGCCTTTAATTTAACAGAGAGCATCCAGTAACTGATTTACCCCATGGACTTCAATTTTACTTCATCGAGCAGCTAGCTATAGAAACGGCTATAAGAAGTACGGGGAAGTCATCTATAATATGAATCGGTAAGAAGGCCCTCGCTGCAGGCAACCGGGCCGATCGCACTTTTCTCGGGATACCTAATCGGGAGCATTTGGTCACGGCCGTTAGTTACATCTTACAACTACCTAGTTAGTTAAGTACCTCACCGCTGGAAAAACTTCTAAATAGTCGGTTATAGAGCTGTCTCCGCGACATCCGCGACGCTGTGGTCGAGCCAACGGCTAGCCGGTGGTGCTGCGTAGGCGAAATGAGCTCCACGAAAGCAATATCCAGCCGCCAGGGTCCTAAAATTGCGGTCCATCAACCCTGATGGTCCTCAGGTACTCCAAAGCTAGATACTCCAGAGTTACCTACGTTAGCGAGGGCAAAGAAGAGCCCCCCCGGCCAAGCAACTTCTTGTCCCAGCCCCGGACTTCGACATCGGCCGCTTTGACACCAACCAGCATTCGTATACTCCGTTGTAGGGTAACTATCACAAGCTACCCTTGATGACTACTCGGAGGACGCCGTCGACGTAGTTATGTAATGCCTATATAATGCTTGGTGAGCTGGACTGTCAGATGTCAAATGCCAAAGGGAACCCACTGTTCTGGCTGTCGCTCCATCTGCCGTCTACAGCGCCGTGACCCCCCGCATGCATAAATCCTCCATGGCCCGTCGTCCCGTCTTCTCTTATTCTTCTTCGCTCGCGTTGTTCGTCCGCGTCTTCGTCGTCTTCGTCTTCATGCATCTCGCGCTGTCTGGTGGTGGAGATTCCGATCTCGCTGCAAGCAATTACCCTTCCGGGACTAGCAGCGGCTGCGCGGTCATGTGCCGAACTTGCACCGACTTTCATCCTCTTTCGTTTCTTCTTCTTCTGCCAACGTCAAGACTTCATTTCAACGACATCAAGGAAACTGGAGAGAGACAAGCAGACAAGACAAGCAGCGAGAAAACTACGGAGTACATAGTAGTTAAAAGAGACGAGACGACCGGCGACTCATACGGCGACTCATACGGCGACTCGTGCGAGACAGGTAGGTAGGGCTAGTTACTGCTACTCGCGACTGGCATGAAGATGGTCACCTAGCACGGCATATACACAACTAAAACTACTCCGCACGAGATATAAGATTACTGTCAGCTTGATAAAATTACTGTCAGCTTCGAAAGGACGAGACTCATCCTTCTTGCTATCAGCCAGGATGTTCGTTGATGGTTGCCAGGGAGAGAGACGGTAACAGCGAGCCTTCACGACTCCCTGGCTGAACGGTGCCGTGATCCGAGCAAGGGTTGAAACAAGAGCTTGACAGAGGCCGAGCATCTTCGTATTGCGGAAAGCCTAAGCAATGCCATTTTGCCTTTGACCACCAATCACACACAGAGGCTCGGCCGGAGGTTTCGCCGTCAAAGATGACGCTTCTGACCCAGGTGGCAGAGAGGGCCGCCACACCCTCTCCAACGGCCTGCTTTCCGCCCTTCCAAACCCTGACCGACATCTCATGAGCCTTGATGATGATACTGGTAGATCGTGGCCCCCCTCCGCCTTTTCTGCTAGAAGCGTTTTGGCTTCTCGACCCCGTCGCCAGCCCTGATATGGTGCTAGAAACTAACTCCACGAGGCGTGCTGCACATCTACAGGGGTGGAGCTTGGTCGTACAGGGTGGCATGCAGCTCCACGTCAAGCTTGCCTGTGACCACTTGACATTTTTTTCCATGTCCGATCCATGAGCACTTTTTCCTGCACCATGAGGGGGTGGGCACAGTCTTAGCCTACATGCCGTCACTTACGCAGCCACCATCGACTCTCTCCAACACTAGTCATAGCGGGACATCCAACTATTATTTTAGCTGACCCTCCTTTTGTAGCCTCAAGGGGCAAGCCAGAACTATGATTCATAGTTTGGGTTCGGCACAGTGCCTGTTCCAATCTTGGAATGAATTCAAACGCAAGGTAGCTTTTGCTCGACGAATTCCAGATTCCGAATGGCGGAATCTCGGCATTATACAGATCCATCAACGCAGTTATAGACTACTCCATAATACTTACACATCTCGACTTTGAGGGCCGATAGTCGTCTTGGCCGGTACTTTGCACTCGCCCGGCCGGGTGGAAGGGATGATGCTGTGATAGGACCGCCAAATAAAAAAAAAACCAACAACACTATCACCAACAGCATCCCCAAGCTCGGCCCAGGAACGTCCAGAACTGGCTTGTAACACTTCCGCCTATACACAGGCCCATCCCCAGAAAATTTTTAACGTATCCTGCACTCGATATCGTCCACCTGGAAACCCGTCTTTCTGAATCGTTCGAAGCTCCCACTTTAAGAAAAACCGCCATCCCCACCGTCCAAGAAGGTTAGTTATTTCCCCAAACTCGAAGTGTTCTATAGTTACAGGGGGGTCTGGGGAAGAAGTATAAGTACGGTCTCGCCCCATTACTGGCCAATAATGCCGTCCCCCCTTTTGCCTGTTACTTATATAAGTCCGAGAAACCTAAGGACCATGACGATGTCTTGAAGTTCGAGGCCTCCATATATTAGAAAGCTCCATCCCACCCGTACCCCACGCTTGTTCTGTTCTTGACATATTTTTTCTTCTAGCAAGTTGTTGTTGGTACCTGGCCGCGCCCTTTGGTCATATACACCCGTATAACTACTTTATATACGGGCTTCTGCGTCCACTTCTGCTGCTTCTCATGTTGTCTCTGTCACGGTCTCTGCGTCTGTAACCATCATTGTCACCGTCCTACCGCAGTATATGCAATAACACACATTGGGACATCGTCTTCATCATGGCCTCGTCCCCCGAATCTCTAGACACCAGTCTGTCTAAGAATAAACGCAAGTCCAATGCTGCCAGTTTACAGAGCTCGGCCCGCCCAGTTAAGAGAAGAGCATCAAAGGCTTGCTGCTGCTGTCGAGCTCGCAAAGTTCGTTGTGATGTCGTTGAGAATGGCTCTCCATGTACCAATTGCCGTCTAGATGATGTCGAGTGTGTCGTTGCAGAGAGTAAACGCAAAAAGTCAGTAGCCGCCGAACTTCCACCACCAGTAAAAACGAGCCCCTTATCATCAATGAACACCAACTAAAAAGAACTATATAGGAAACATCATATCGAGGCTACTCCTGAGACACCAAAGGATTCGCCGCCGGATCATTCACCTATATTCGACAGCAAGTCTAACTCTAACAGGTTGTTCCCGTCTATCTCTGATTCATGGCCCTCTGTATCACCTGGAAGATACCCGGAGAACGAGCAGCATGTGCCCCATCTGATATGTGAGATCACCCCTAGGCCTTTTATCTCTAATATACCAGTTACTGACTAGCACGTTAGATCAAACCCAGAAGAGGCAGCGTATGCAAGATGAGGAAAGGCGGAGACGGCTGTCGAGCACAACTATCAATTCTCCATTTCTCTACACTGTACCCCCGAAGTCACAACTGCGCCCTTCATGTCTGCTGCGTTTGGGCAGAT